ACTCATAGATTTGGGTAGGAAAAATAGTCATAAACTCAAAAAAGGTCAGGATTGATAAAGTATTTATTTAAGAAGTCATAACAATATTATCATCAACAACACTACCACATTTGAACCTGACATAAAATTAATGTTATCATTCAAGTAAAATACATGACATCATAAAATGCACTATCACCATAACACAATCATCTGCAACAGCACTACATCAGTCAGTTGTCCTAGCATATTTTATTTAAAGAACAAATAAACTTTGTTTTTTTTTGCTCTTTTAACCCTTACACATGAAAGATTTGTCGTTAGTCTTACGCGGAAAACCAAAGTCATTCTTACAAAACTTGTGGTTAATAAATACCGAGCGATTAAAAGTTGCCAAAAAGTCGCCTGCTTCACTCTCGCCCGCCAACGAAACCACAGACAGGTTACGTAATGCTGTCGCCAGAGCACTGCAGTGACGTCATATGAGGAAGGATTTTCAGTTAGTTGTATATAAAGTGTGTAGCAAGCTCATCATTTTGATGATTTCTCGACATCAACGAAGACATGCCGAATCGTTGCTTTGTCGTCAATTGCTCCAAGGGGTCGGGCGATGGTGTCACCATGCACAGATTTCCACAGGACCCAATAGTTCGTGCTAAATGGGTTATGTTTGTGAGTGCGAAGCGAGCGTTGTGGAAGCCTGGAACGATATTTTACTTGTGTTCAGATCGCTTCACAGCAGTTAAAGAATCAAAACTACTTACTAGTTGTAGTAAAATATGTATATGATTGATGACCATAAAGATTTTCCATGACACAACTTGTAACATAACGATTTCTTCCTCGGAAGCCAGGTTGTGGTCGAAGTAACAATAATATTATAAAGTAGTATTATTTTGACACTCACTTCGCTTCCACGAGAGAAATTGCTATGTTATAAGCTATGTCATGCAAAATCCTTTTGGCCATCAATCAAATACATATTTTACTATCAGTAGAAAGTAGTTTTGATTTTGTAACTCGGTGAAAACGAACCTAAATAGCATTTATCCTCAGACTGGCGGATGTTCCTGAGAGGGCGCCGCCATTTTTGAAAATCGTGAAGTCACGGGCTAAAAGTCTGTTAGAATTAATAAGATTATGGTTTGTTTTCATCAAGTTAGAAAATCAAAAATACTTTCTACTCGTAGTTACATATGTATTTGAATCATGACCAAAACGATTTTGCATGACACAACTTGTAACATAACGATTTCTTCCATGGAATCGAGGAAGGGGTCGAAGTGACAATACTGCGCGATAAATTCTTCCTACATTCACGTGGTTAACGTCCACTCACCAGTACGTAGATACTAGTCAGTGTACGTCTAGTATGTAGATACTAGTCTTTGTACTTCTTTATATTTGGTCTTATAATCCTAATAAGTTTATTATCATACTTGTGTGCATTATGAAACTTAATAAAAAGCAGGCGATCTGCTGATACTTACAGTGAATTTATAACAGGACTATAATATTTAGACATTTTATAGTTTGCCAGTGTGAATCATAATTCGAACACATGCCCTAGTGTATGTTGTCTGTCTCATTACACTTCACGGTGAAAACAATGATTCTGTTGAATGCTACGACAAATGAATAAAAAACAAAATGCAAATATTAAAATTAAAACAGATTAAAGTTACAGGAATGATGTCAGGCTATTACCTTGTTCGAGGAATGTATCCATCAATGTCCACAAAACGAGTGATATGCCATTCTTCTACAGCTGTTCCAAGTGGTGTGTCTTTTAACAGTCTAATATACGAAAAAGTGATATATCGTTTCAGGTATTTCACATTGGTGTATAGTCTCATTGGTCACCCATGATCGCACACCTGGCAACTAATTGCATAATGTCCGCCATTCTTTAAACAAACGTAATTTAGTTAGCCAATAATGAGCGGTTAATCCTTTGAAAGAAGGATGTTGTTTTTACAGACACAGACACGACAGAGTGTATTCAGTATAGATTAGTAAATCTACATACATAAACACTACCTCTTGACAAATCCGCTGTGCAAGATAAAAGTAATTAATCAATCATCGTGTTATCGGTTAATCCTTTGATCGATGTTTATAATGTTGAGTATTTACTCCAGACACAAGAAATACCAAATGGGAACCTTTGTCGGGTAATCTAAGTGGTGTTACCGCTAATTATACCTGTTATAAATTCATTAACTGACCATCAAGTGAATGATGACAAATAACATGTGTAGGTTCATACCACCTAACACGGGTTACAACAAGGGAGTATTAATTGCTGTATTGCATACAATTTTAATTGCATGTGAAAACTTATGGGCCGACACTGTTTTGAGAATACGAACAGAACTTCATTGTTGTATAAGAAATACATATAAGCATTTGCTGTGTGATAATACTGTATGTACCTGTTTACCAAAGTAATTTTTTTAGATTCTTCTAGCAATGGCAAAGTAGGGTTGTTTAGTTTACAGATTCAAATAAATCAAATGTCCATTTTAATATCATACGTCATAGACGTCATATTTTTACATGACATGATTAAATATCGAGGTAAAAAAACCCACAGAAATGGGATCAATTTGGATCAGTCATTATACCAGGGAGACTATATTACATTGCAGATTATCCCTGATTATACCATCCAGGCATTTGAAAGCCTGAAATAGTCCACACTGCTTTGATACTTTATTACAATCAGACAAGAACTACCGGGGATATTTTCAAATAACTGCATCTGATGGGCATCCACCCTTCTTAATGTCGCACTGTTTAGGTTGAAGAAATTAACCGTAACGTGATGAGCGAGGCTGATCATCGTTTTCACTATCGCTAGCATCTGGCTCGAACAAATAAGGCCTAACGAAACCAAGCGATTCAGTCAGAATCGTCTATGAAAACAGTAGACAAAATTAAATGACAGTAGGTTGTGAGAAGATATAGCTTTCATTTTTCACAACAGTTGTCACGATTTCAGGTTTATACAAACCTGTAAACAAGATGATTTACCCCCTGAAATGTACATGAATTCTGCATCGGCCCTCAAATCTATTCCTCATATGACGTCACAGAGACGCGCCGCTCTGATTGGTTGAAATTTCGTTCGCGGGTGAGAATTGTGCACTGTTGTCAAAAGGTCGATTTAATTTCTTTGAGAGGAATTTTAGAAGTTGTGAAGATGAAGGAAAACTGATTTGTATGGATAGTCAACTTCTTTATTGCAGTGAGTGCGACGTTTCAGTGTAGATTCTAACACCGTTATCAAGCAAGTCACAAGTTTTCCGTCAGGTCGATTTAAGTCAATTAAAGATCGAAATAAGTGGTTATAATGACGGGGTTTCATTTATAACAATACCAAGTAGTGATTTGTGTATTTGTACCCCCCTAGAGTATATGTGATCTTTAACCAAACGTTCCAGCCAATGCCGTGAAGAGTTTGAGTCACAGTCTTACAGCCAGCCACTCTGTCCAAACAAAGATTTCTTGATGTGACTTGTTCTTTTTCGATTTGTTGGAAGGTTGCCCATAACATCTTGCACAATCATTGTTGCTACTGTTGCATGTTGTTTTTTGAACCATTCGATTGTACGCCTGATGGAAGGATGTTGGTGTCCCACGAGGCTAAAGAACTTATTGTTCCAGCCTTCACATATATTATTTGTCCTTGGTTCTTTGGAAAATGTGAACATTCCACACAGCAGGGGGAAGAGCGGTGGAACTCTCCTGACACTGAGAGAAAGACCGCTGCCATGACGCTGAACTGGATACATAGGTACGGTCTAAGTACTCAAGAACTTCTTCAATTTCAGGATGTTCTTCCGGCACAATTTGGATCTGACATAATCAATCCCCCCTTGAAGATCGTCAATAGGAAGGAAAGCTAACCCATCTAATATACCACAGAGTAAACGAAAGTCAGCATCTTCCATGTAAAAATTTGCAAGATGAAGACTCCACGAAACAACCATGTGACTGAACGTCATGCCCAAACACAGCCACAATCGCACGACGAACAGAGTCTTCAAAGTCTGTAACAACAGTCTCTACATTCAGTTCCAGACTGGGTTCCGCACACCTGTCCGCCACAGCTTGCAGGAGTTCTTCATAGGCTGCTCTGGTCTTGTTGGGAAGAAGGGCATAGACGGCTGTAACGGCGGTGTCTCGGAACGGGACTCTGATTCAGAATATCTGGGAGAAGATATTTGGTGCCATGGCAAAATTGCCATCCATAAAGAGGGTATCAGCTTCAGCCAGCAGCTTCAGGTTCTGTGTGGTGGCAAAGGCAATGAGTCTGTTCGGGTGGTTAGGACCGTTGTCATACAGAAGGAACTGCTCACCTTCAGGACCGGTTGTAGCAAATTCATCTGGCAGGGTACCTAGGTCTCTACAGTGAAGCGGGGCAGGTGGAGTTGGACGTTGGTTTCTTAGGGTTCTTTTGCATGTTTCAGCCGTTGGAAGCATGGCACGAACTTCAGGGTTGCAGGACAGGACCGTCTTGGCAAAAATCTGGCCTGGTTTGTCTCTGGTTTTGGCAGCTTGGTCTCTCATGGCATTGCGAATTTTGGTTAGGGCTACTTGGTTGTTGTCTGGTGCATGATTGTGTGCAATACCTAGCTAAGAACACTCTTTGTCAAGATTGGTAATTAAGCTGCCTCTGCATTTTGTGCTGGATCGCCTGGTGCACTTCCACCAGATTTTCTTATTCGTTGAGGAATGCTTCGAATACAAATATCCTTTAAACTCACTTTCAAACCTCCCTTACTTGTGGACAGTATGTCCATCTTGGATAACTGAACTCCCAGTCCAGCTCGTGTCTTATTATTAGCTGCTGGAAGGAATCCATTTGAGTAAAAGAATTAACCAAAATTCCATGAGTTTATTAATCGGTGTGATATCGTCAAGCTCAAAGCAAATTAAACAAACTATCATGTGACTTGTGACTTTTAATCCATAATCCTTTAAGAATTAAACAAAATTAATAATAATATGTTCATTTCTCCTGTTTTGACTAGATCCAATTGCTTACAGCATCACACCGAAAGGAATATTTAACTTGAAAGTGAAATAGTATCAACAAAGTAAATAGATACCACGATGTTTTTATAACAGTTGTTGTTGAATTATTTTTTTGCAAATAACTTGAGAACAGGATGTTTTTATTATTGATGATGAAAGTGAAATATATAAAATACAGTATAAACAACTGGAGAACAGGATGTTTTATAATAGTTATTTTTCCTTTGACTTGATTTCCATGACTTTGTTTGCTATGACTTTATTCCGTCCACCAAGCACATATGGTAACCGACAGCATCTGGGTAGTAGTATATATCCAGTTAAACGACCATTGATAAGTCTAGCATTATTCACAAAATATCCAGTCATATCTCATATCCGGAATAACCTGGAATCCAATACCTTCGTGCATCTTTATAGATGGTATATTTTCACGCTGTATCATGACAAGCACCTCCTTCCTCTTTTCCAGATGCTTCTGAACGAGATGAGACATGGCGACCTTTCCGTACCCCTTCCCTCTGTGGTTTTGGGGCACGTACAGTACCCCCAGACACCCGTAGTGATAGGTAAGGGCGTATCCCATCACCTCCCCCTCCTGATTGTATAAACAGGTGGAAGGAAGTGTGGTTATCAGATGCCTAATGTAATCCTTAGACAAGTCTCCATTGCGTAAGTCCCACGTGGAATCTACCAGAGCAGTATGATCGGCCTCCAGGTTGGACATGACACATCCCTCAGGAACAGGCCTTTGTGAACAATAATAATCAATTTAAGATATGTAAACATATTGAAGACATTACCTTATATAATATCGACCAATTTATCCGTAAAACGTCAAATTGAAGACATGAACATTGTTTACAATAAGGAAGAGAGCTTTTTGGATGTTTCCTTTATCATGAGAAACGCAATTTCAGAGTATATACTTGAATGAATGATGAAGGAGTAAGTATATACTTGAATGAATGATGAAGGAGTAAGTATATACTTGAATGAATGATGAAGGAGTAAGTATATACTTGAATGATTGATGAAGGAGTAAGTATATACTTGAATGAATGATGAAGGAGCAAGTATATACTTGAATGAATGATGAAGGAAGTATATACTTGAATGAATGATGGAGTAAGTATATACTTGAATGAATGATGGAGTAAGTATATACTTGAATGAATGATGGAGTAAGTATATACTTGAATGAATGATGGAGTAAGTATATACTTGAATGAATGATGGAGTAAGTATATACTTGAATGAATGATGGAGTAAGTATATACTTGAAAGAATGATGAAGGAGTAAGTTTATACTTGAATGAATGATGAAGGAGTAAGTATATACTTGAATGAATGATGGAGTAAGTATATACTTGAATGAATGATGAAGGAGTAAGTATATACTTGAATGAATGAATGATGAAGAAGTATATACTTGAATGAATGATGAAGGAGTAAGTATGTACTTGAATGAATGATGAAGGAGTAAGTTTATACTTGAATGAATGATGGAGTAAGTATATAATTGAATGAATGTTGAAGGAGTAAGTATATACTTGAATGAATGATGAAGGAGTAAGTATACACTTGAATGAATGATGAAGGAATAAGTATATAATGGAATGAATGATGAAGAAGTAAGTATATACTCCAAAACGCTGTGTTCCCCATAGTGAAGAAGTTGACATCCAAAAAATTCTCTTTCTTATGTCATCACTTCTAAATGTCATTTAAAGACATGATCGTTTACTATGTCAAGATGTTGTCAACACGTTTTAATACGTTTTATTTATATGCAAAACCAAGGTAACGATATGTGTTCTGAGTCTAAATGATCTATGGTATAAATGTACCGGAGCTTCAGTGTATCTTGCGTGACAATCAGGTAGACACAGTCATATATCTCCCTTGTGAGAGTCCTGTGAAGTTGAGCTACTTCTGTCAAAACTGGCGTTAGGGTACTGTCGACACCTGAAACAGTTAGGGAAAGGATCATATGTGTGGGAAAGGATTACATTGAGAGGAAGGATTGCATGTGAGAGAAAGGATTACATGTGACAGGAAGGATTCAAGGAAATACAGGATTACATGTGAGAGAACAGGATTACATGTGAGAGAAAGGATTACATATGAGAGGAAGGATTACATATAACAGGAAGAATTCAAGGGAACAAAGGATTATATGTGAGAGAAAAGGATTACATGTGTGTAAAAGGATTACATGTGCGAGACAGGATTACGAATTAGAGGAAGGATTGCATGTGAGAAGAAGGATTGCATGTGAGAGAAAGGATTACGTGTGAGGAAGGATTACATATGAGAGGAAGGATTACATATAACAGGAAGAATTCAAGGGAACAAAGGATTATATGTGAGAGAAAAGGATTACATGTGTGTAAAAGGATTACATGTGCGAGACAGGATTACGAATTAGAGGAAGGATTGCATGTGAGAAGAAAAATTGCATGTGAGAGAAAGGATTACGTGTGAGGAAGGATTATTTGTGAGAGGAAGAATTCAAGGAAACAAAGGATTGCATGTGGGAGAAAGGATTACATGTGAGAATAAGGATTAAGTGTGAAGAAGGATTACATGTGAGATGAAGAATTCAAGGAAACAAAGGATTGCACGTGGGAGAAAGGATTACATGTGAGAATAAGGATTACATGTGAAGAAGGATTACACATGAGAGGAAGAATTCAAAGAAATACAGGATTGCATGAGAGAGAAATGATCACATGTGTGAGAAAGGATTACATATGAGAGGAAGAATTTAAGGTAAGAAAAGATTACATCTGAGAGAAAAGACATGAAGTGTCACATACACAATAATGGCGACTGCATGTCGTTGATCTGTGATCGCATTTATAAAACAAAATAGTGTAAACGAACTAAGTTACATGGTAATTCTGTTCTTCCGCAAGCACACTTAAAATTAGTAATTTTATTGTGGGTTTTCAAGTACCAAAGCAACCAGGCAGTTATCAGGCACGCCATAGTTTAGCAAATGCTGCTCGTCAGTGATACTGGTCTGTAAATTGAAGGGTATCATCCGTTACCCGTGTTAAGTAGTTAAAACAACCATAGGGCCACACAACAAAGGAGAAAATGTCCCTGACGTTAAGTTTCATTAAATATATGTGTTTCAGTGCACAGAGACAAAATCCTGAGCTGGTCCCCATGTCAATTCTCCCTTACTCAAGAGACATCAGTGTGGTGATACTTTTCACGACTGGAGTGAGTGAGTGAGTTAGCTTTACGCCGCTTTTAGCAATATTCCAGAAATATCACGACAGGGGACACCATAAATGGGCTTCACACATTTAACCCAAGTAGGGAATCGAACCCGGGTCTTCAGCGTGACGAGCGAACGCATTAACTACAAGGCTACCTCACCGCCCCTTTTCAGGACTAGAAGACAAGGCAGATGACTACGCTTTGGTGACCGATTATTTCGGTTTCAGTGTTAAAAACATTGTTTGTATATCAAGGTATAAATAGTTTTGCTTGGCCCACATGAACAGGACAAATCTTGATCAGAACGAGTTCTATGCATCGCCGTTCCATATTAAATCTCATTCGGGCTCAACTTTCAATAGTTATACTGCAATGAAAACGTCTTGTCTTGCAAATGCAAACACCAGCCCCATGACCACCTGAGTGGACTTTGGACATAAACCGTCACTCCAATCGTAAAGTAACCAACTTCGATTGACTTTGGAGATTGAAAATGAAAATGAAATGTGAAAAGGTAAGTTTGAGTGTTAGAACTTTGATCCGGTGTTTCTGTTTTGGGTAAACCGCTTAACTGCGAGCCACTATCATGTTTAGCAGGGAATGCCTTCACTGGAAGTCAGTGACTTGTGTGCAGCAACATCCTTTAATTAACAGAGAGACTGTATCCCTTACATTCAAACCGTTTTTCCTTGGTCCAGTCCAGTTGCTCTAGCAGGTCTCTCAACGCGTCGACGTCAGTGGCGTAAAGGTCCACAATCGGCCGCAGATACTTCAACTGTCAGAGCGGACATGTACGTTAATTCCACTGACATCTACATCTTGCCATTTATCCAACAGGAAGTATCAGTGACTTTGTCATGTGTTATATTATGTTGTTTTTGTGTGTAAATATACCAAAACCGTTGTATTGTGAGAAATAATTAAAAAATCAACTCCGAATTTTAAATGTCTTACACATTACCATTATGTTACTAGTCTTTCAGATTTCTTTTTAACGAAACCCCTCAGTTCACAAAGAAATCTCTCAATAATGAGCGAGTGAGTAAATATTGCTAAGCGCCGTATCAGCAATGTTGCAACTATTCGCCGCGACTCTCAATAATGAAACGAAAGCCCTAACGCATCATAAACGTCGGACCAGTTTACTGATATTCCACTTGAATGAGTATTTTTGTTCTAAATGTGTCAGTGTTAATAGAGCATTCTAAATATCTGTTTTCCGTCTGACTGGAGGGGACATAGTAGTCCAGGTGGAGAATCTCAAAAGGGGCCTAGAAATAGGATTCCACCTCCCTATTCCGTACTTTGGAATCCCATGAGATGTGCGCATGCGCAATTGCTTCAGTACGCTCGCGTTTTTGCTTTAGTTCAGAAGAATTTACGTCACCCTCATATTTTATCTCTCAGCGCTTGAGATAAGAGGTTTGTTTGGAAGAAGAATTGTGGGAACTACGAGTGTAGTCCCAGTGGTGATTAATCTCGAGTCTTTTGGGGTAGACACGCAGTGTCCGTGGTGAAAATTGACTCTTTTGGTTTTTGACCGAGACGGCCCCTGGTCGTGGTCATCCCTGTCATGGCGGCTCCCCTGGGGTCAGACAAGGGACTAAGCACTGACTTGGAAAATACTTCTCGACAGAGTATTTTTGAGATTGTGGACAATATCAGAGGAACTTTGATCAACCCAACCACTCCTGATCTAGGTATGTCAAACTGTGCACAACTTTCTAGTCCCTCGGGGACTGGACAACCTCAGGGGTCGAAGGTCAGTGACAGGGTTGAAGCCACAGATGCCATGGACCATCAGACTGATAGACAGCCGTCTTTCTCATGGGAGCACTGTATGGAATTCATGATGGCCAGTGAAAGAGCTCAGTGTGCTTCTATGGAGAAAATCATCGGATCGGCTATTTCTAACTTGGGAAAGTTATTTCTCAGCAAGGGGTTTCGGGTGGTACCGAGCAGACCCGAAGTTCACAGATCGTGGCTTCAACTTCGGGGAGTGGAGATGGCACCGGAGATTCCCGAAGTGGGGCGGATGCAACTTCCGGGGATAACCAACATAGCGGCGCCCGTGATGTATACAGTGACGACGAAGGGCTTGTTGGAGACGATTCTGAGTCGGATTGTTTTGATTCCCTTCAATCAAACCTGTGCGAAACCAAAGAAAACCCCGAGGACGACAATATCATAACTCTTATGGCTGATTTTCATGAGTTCTTTGGAGAAGACGACGATACTTCGGAATCGTTGAGAGAGGACTTGGCCAAATCAGTGAATGAGGGTATGACTAAGAGCCCGCACATGTGAAAATTGAAAGAGGTGATGGGGAGATACAAGAGACCTAAGAATTGTGAGGCATTGAGGGTCCCAAAGGCCAATGAAGAAATATGGCAACAGGCCAAACCGGCTACGAGGACTAGAGACTTGAGGGCCCAACAGACCCAGGGCTTAATGGTGAAAGCCATGATTCCCTTAATCCAATTAACAGATGCACTCATGAGTGCCATAGTCACAAAATCAGAAGTGGACATTAAAGACACACTCATGAAAGCTACTGATTCAATAAGACTCCTTGCAGGGGCTCATGGCGATCTAAATACCAAGAGACGCGAAGGGTTTAAACCTGATCTCAAAGGCCCCTACAAAAAACTGTGTTTTGCTATGCCAGGGAAGAATTCAGGAACATATCTGTTCGGGGATGAACTTGGAAAACGCATCAAAGACATTTCTGATGCCAGTCAGCTTGGGTGCAAACTTGGCCAAGGCACATCATGGCAACCTAGTCGCCACAGATATAGGGGAAATCAGAGATTTGACCCCTACAGGCAACAGACACCACCCACCAGAACAGGAAAGGGTTTCCCCAACAAAGTTAAGAGCTCCAGGGGCAGAGGAAACCAACATGGTTTTTTTTAAACCGACGTCCCAGGGGAGGACAACTTCAGGAAATAGCGGAAACACTAGACAGTGACAATAGTGCAGAGGTGAGAGACTTATTACACAGTCTATCTAATGTGCCACAGAATTTCACTGCAGGCAAAACTAAGCAGTTTGTGCATCATTGGTACAGTGTGACATCTGATTGCTGGGTTTTATCTAGTGTGGCAGGAGTTAGTATTGACTTCCTTGAGTTGCCAGTTCAACATTATGTACCCAAACCTATCTTGTTTAATGAACAGGAATGGCACCAAGTAGACTGTGAGATCAATGAAATGTTAGCCAAGGGTATCATTGTTGAGTGTTTCCATGAACGTGGGGAATATATCTCCAACATTTTCACAAGGGTTAAGAAAGACAATTCCTTGAGGGTTATCCTGAACTTGCAGTCACTTAATGGTATCGTGGATGCACACCACTTTAAGATGGATACTTTCAAATCTGCCTTATATCTTGTTCGGCAGGATTGCTACTTTGCATCAATTGACCTGAAAGATGCTTATTTTTCAATACCGATCAGGCCTAGTGATCAAAAATACCTGCGGTTCTACTGGAATCAACAACTATACCAATTCACATGTATGCCTAATGGACTATCTTCAGCCCCTCGAACATTTACAAAAATCTTGAAACCTGTTTTCTCTACAATGAGGAAGCAGGGTTTTTCCAATAGTGCTTATATTGATGATTCAATACTGGTTGGGGAAGATAAAAAAGCACTGTGCAGACAATGTCACTCAAACTGTTCGATTACTTGACAGATTAGGTTTCACCATTCATCCAGAAAAATCTGTGCTCACACCAAGTAAAGTGATTACCTACCTTGGTTTTGTTATAAACAGTCAGACCATGACTGTAAACTTAACAAAAGAGAAAGGGGAGAAAATTGCCCACAGTTGCAAGAATGTGATGAATAAGGAAAGTGTGTCAATCCGAGAGCTTGCGTCTTTAGTGGGGCAGCTCAATGCCAGTGGATATGGCATGAAACATGCACCTATTTTCTTTAAGAGAATTGAGAATTTAAAAAACAAGAGTTTGTCAGGGTGTAATGGCAATTATGAAGCAATTGTGCAGATAGATGAGGCATGTAAATCAGATCTGCAGTGGTGGATAGACCAAACAGGGAAATGCCCCAGCCTATTACCATTCCACAACCTGATGTTGTAGTGCAGTCTGATGCTTCAAAAAGAGAGGCTGGGGAGTGTGTGGCAACGATAAAACAGGTGGGCCGTGGTCAGCTATGGAAAGTGAGAGACACATTAATTATTTGGAAATTTATGCCGCCTGGCTTACACTCCAATCTCTGTGCAAAACCTTCTGCAACACCCATATTAGACTTATGCTGGACAATACCAGAGCAGTGGCATATACCAATAATATGGGTGGATGTAAACAGACTTGTAATGATATTACGAGGCAGATGTGGTTATGGTGTAAGGAGAGTAACATATGGTTAAGTGCAGCACACGTACCTGGTGTTGATAACTCTGAGGCTGATTGGTTTTCTAGGAATACAAGGGATGATACTGAATGGAAGTTAGATACTGATGTGTTTGGGACATTAGCTAAAGTATTTGGTGCGCCTGAAAGAGACTTATTTGCATCAAGGCTAAATAATCAGGTGGAGAGATATGTATCATGGTCCCCAGATCCAGGGGCAGAAGCAATAGATGCTTTCACATTATCATGGGCAACCTGTTATAATTATGTTTTCTGCCCATTCAGTGTGATTGGACGAGTAGTTCAGAAAATCAAGATGGAGGCAGCAGAAGCTCTCATGATAGCACCTCTATGGTCAACACAGAGCTGGTTCAATTCGCTTCTAGAATTGTCAGTCGACTGTCCTCGATTGCTGCCCAAGTCCAAGCACCTCCTGACACTCGGCCATCTACCACTGAGAGTACACCCACTACTTCAACAAGGCAAGTTGAAACTGGCGGCCTTCCGCTTGTCCGGGAAGTCCTGCAAGGTCAAGGAATTCAGGGCTCTGCTGCAGACATCATCTTGCATTCATGGAAAGGTACCACCAAGAAACAGTATAGGACATATCTGCGAAGGTGGATGCAATTTTGTTGTGAAAGGGGTATTAATTCCATTTCACCATCTTTAAATGATGGTTTGAGTTTTTTGGAGCTTCTTTATCAGAAAGGACTGAGTTATTCTGCTATAAATTCAGCACGGTCTGCGTTATCATCTGTAGTAAAAGTAGATAATGTGCAATTTGGACAGCATCACCTTGTCATACGATTTATGAAGGGAATATTCAATTTAAGGCCTAGCCTCCCCAGATATAACGTCACATGGAATGTATCTGTTGTTTTGTAATATCTTAAAGCACAATCTGACTCAGATTTGAAAGAGCTTACTACTAAGTTGGCTATGTTACTGTTATTATTGTCAGGACAACGTGTTCAATCCCTCTATTTGATAGACTGTAGAAATGTAGATATTGTAGACAATAGTATTAGGATTAGATTTGGAGATTTATTAAAGCAAACAAGACCTGGACACCATCAAGGGGAGATAACCATCCCTGGATTTTCAGACAATAGATTATGTGTTGTTAAGTTGCTCAAAGACTATGTTCATGTGACTAAAGACCTCAGAGGAGATGAAACTGCTTTGTTTATTGCAGTACAAAAGCCTCACAAACGAGTGAGCAAAGACACTATTTCCCGATGGATTCGAGGTGTTCTTGCTGCTGCAGGAATAAACCTGGCAATGTTTAAGCCTCACAGTGTGAGATCAGCCTCAACAAGCGCAGCTGCAGCTGCCAATGTGCCACTCGCCACTATTTTGAGGACTGCTGGTTGGAGCAACCAATGTGTGTTCAGGCAGTTCTATGATAAGCCTATATCTGACAATGGACAATTCGGAGAGACTTTATTGTTAATGGCTCAGAATGATAACCCTTAAGGTTAAGTCTCACCACAGAAACACTTATTACCTTGTTTGATTTATTGCATAATGACAACATGGGTTGTTTATTTGTCTTTTTCAATTGATCAGTCAGTGTTGTGATGATATGTTTTAGTAGTGCCATGTTGACCTAGTAAATTTTGGACAGCAGTGATCTTGTGTTTTGTTGTGGATTATGTTGAAAATATGATTTTCTCTAAACATCTCATGGGATTCCGAAGTACGGAATAGGGAGGTGGAATTATAAAATTAAACGAGACTTACCTGTAAGTTGAAGTTTGATAATAATTCCACCGACCTATGGAGTACTGAGGGATCACATGCCCACCCTTCCCATCCCTGGGATTATTGGTTAAAATCATATTTTACTTTAAAAACTGAAGCAATTGCGCATGCGCACATCTCATGTGATCCCTCAGTACTCCATAGGTCGGTGGAATTATTATCAAACTTCAACTTACAGGTAAGTCTCGTTTAATTTTATAATTTCGTAGCCTCCCCCGTACTGATTTTGTTTGACACTATTTTCAGTTAGTATGATGTCTTGGGCTTATGAAAAGGCCTGTGATACTTTCAGATTGTGGTATCAGGTTTTTTTTACAGGCCATTATATGTGGTGAGGGTCTGCGAGCATTTTCGTCACAGTTGGTTTGCAGTAGATCAGTTAAATAAACTGGTGTCATATGATGAACCATTTTGTAAACTAATGATAACTTGCTAATTTGTCGACGGCGCGGTAAACTAGGGGCATAGAGTTAGTTTCCTTATATATTAAATCATGACTTGTTCCTCTAATTCTCCCGCAAATCGTCCGCAGTGCGTCTTAATGTAGATTTTCGACAAGTTTTTCTGGTTCTTTAGTACAGTTAACCCAAAGGTGCGAACAGTAATCGAACGTTGGTAATATATATGACTTGTACATTTGCTCTAATGATTTTCTAGATAATCTATATTTAAAACTACGTAGACAATTTACCAAAGGACGAACCTTTTTAACTAATTCACCAATGTGGGAGTTCCATTTATAGTCTGATTGCAAGGTTACTCCTATGTGTTTATGGTAGCCGACTTCAGTAATGTCTACTCCATGCATTTTAAGCGTAGGAATTGGAAATTGATTACCGGTATTTCTGCGAGTGAATAAAACAGCTTCAGTCTTACCAGGATTAAAGATAACCTGCCATATTTCAGGAGAGATCCTGTTTAGGTCATTATTTAAGGAAGCGGCAGTAACAACATGATTATCAACAATAACGTATACCGACGTATCATCGGAATCAGAGCCCCCAACAGAGACAAAAACTGGACAATGATCACTGCAAAAAGGATCAAGCACACCCGAAGTGCGAATACAATTAGGGCTTGAAACAAAGATTAAATCAATTAACGTACTAGTCGTTTGGGTGATCCTTGTTGGTCCTGTGATTAGTTGGTGTAAATCATATGTATCAAGAAGATTGTCAATCATGTTATTAGTCTGGTTATGTATATTGATGTTAAAGTCACCAGCAATAATAGTATCTATGCCCATGTCAATGCCATTACCAATTGATTGGAGGACTAGTTCCCAATAAAGATCACTTTTATCTGCTCTGTAAACATTTCCAATCAAACAGCTCTTATTTTTACACATAACTTTAACCCAGATCGCTTCTAAACCTAACGGGGGCGGTGGGGTAGCCTAGTGGTTAAAGCGTTGGCTCGTCACGCCGAAGACCCGGGTTCGATTCCCCACATGGGCACAATGTGTTAAGTCCATTTCTGGTGTCCCCCGCCGTGATATTGCTGGAATATTGCTAAAAGCGGCGTAAAACTAAACTCAGTCAGTCAGTCTAAACCTAAGGGAGACAACTTATCAGCATGTGTAACATGCAGGTTCTCTCTCACATACATAGCAACACCTCCACCTTTTGATGGTCTATCCTTCCTAAAAGGGGCGTGGTAACCAGGGATAAGAATATTATTGTTATCAATTGTGACATTCAACCATGTTTCTGTTAAACATATAACATCATAGTCACTTAATTCTGCCTGGATTAAAGCAACTTTTTCTCTTAAGCTACGCACATTAAGATGAACTATTTTTAAGTCAGGATAAGCAAGTGGGCCTGGATTTGGATGCACATCACCACAGCATAGAAGAATTAATAATATAATCAGCTGCACTTGTGGATTGTATAAACATAACGTCATTATGGCATATGAAGTTTTTAAATTTTGCATAGGAATTTAACTGTAAAATCATTTTAAAAAACCCAATTGTCTGTCGGTATGTCGAGATATCAACCGGCATCGTCAAATATGAATATAAACAGATCAATTTGAGGACAGACGGGGTTATTTGTCAAAGCATGTGAAATACGCTCAGGTTGCTGCTTCCATTTCATCAAGATAACAAGTTTCACCTTTACAAGCTCAATGTGTGTATATTCAAAACACAGGAAACAAATATACAACGCAAATTCAACATAAAATAATTTTCCATAAGTCATAATGGAAAATATTAAAATACTGTTTAGGGGCTTGAAATACTGGGGGTTGAAATAGACAATTTTCATACAGTGGATAAGAAAAGAAAGGAGGGAAGAGAAGTAATGTGCAGTAAATAGGGAAGTGTATACTAGTAAGGCTGACGATGCAATAAACTGTCAAGTAGTAAAACCAGTCTGAGCTGGTTTAGCTTTTAAGTCAAGATCGCAAACGTAAATTCTCAAGGCTTGTACGAACAATAATAGAAAAGCATCGTAACTGTTGCCATTACATAATGATAACAGAAAGCACGAGATCAGCGGACTTTCCGTGCAAACAAAATCCCAGACGGGTCAGTTTTGTGAACATGTAACGACAGGAGCAGGGATTTTTCGGATGATATGTTACATCAATGGTAAGTAAATTCATTATTTACAAAATCATTTTATAACAGGATATGCTGGTAGTTGCCTTACTATTTTTATATGTGTCTATCAGTGGAACACTGACCGTAAACACAGCTGCTCCATGAAACAATACTGGTCAGTCCAATCAAGAGTACAGAATATACAAATATCACAAACGGAATCCCCCCAATGCACAGAGTGTCTGTGTAAATCCTCTGATGGAGCACAATGAAAAAAAATACCTTAACATAGAACTCCGACAATGGTAGCCCTAAGGCAATTTTGTACAATGGCACCTAGTGCCAAGGCGATCGAAAATCCCATACCTGAACATGGGACTCCGACAATGGTAGTGCTAACACTGTTTCGTACAAAGGCATCATGAAACAACTTTCTGACACTGTTATTCAATATTAATATTTGAATCAATGCTGTTTTCTAGTTTATATGCAACACTATACTGAAAAGTCCATGCGAATCATAATTAACATAATCTAAAGCACATGCATGTCTGCTTTTTTAAAGAAATGGTTAGCAACATGTCATAATTCGTCTACTTAATTTTGAAAGACGTTAGTCGTTAAGTATTAATTTCATTTTACACTGAAATCCGCACATTTTGTCACAAGGTTCATCGCAATTATGCGAGGTGCCTACGCACCTACCTGGTTTAACTGAGTGAGTGAGTGAGTTTTACGCCGCTTAGCAATATTCAAGCATCATCATGGCGGGGGACACCAGAAATGGGCTTAACATATTGTGGGGAATCGAACCCACGTCTTCGGCGCTTTAACCACTAGGCTACTCCACCGCCCCATTAGTGTGGAGAGATCGTGTTCAAATTCTGTCCGTAAAATGTGTAATCGCACAGTAGTAAAAACAGGTGTTTTGTAGGTTGTCATACTGTTCATTTTGTGAGTACTGTATTTAACTTTTTGAATGTAAATTTTATTTGTTTTCCACGTTAATGAAGACATGTTACTGTGTTGCGCCGTGTTGATGCCCCGCGTTTAATTTATACACATAATTCAGGTCACGCCCATGAAAAAATACCTCTATATCATTCTGTTTCGCCTGGACGACCATCGCTCTGTAATCCGGCCACCTGTCAACTAGGAACTCTTGATCGCGTATACGGTGTTCCAGAGTGGCTTCTATATCCCCCGCAACCTGAAAAGATAACCAGGACTGTTTTGTTTCTTTCTTTGTTGTTTGTTGTCGCACTGAGGGAGATAATATAGTTCATAAAGAAATCCCATTATCTCCCTTCTACCAATTACAACATCCATCAGTCCTCAGTTGCGGAACTCTAATTTTCATATAACATTCCAGAATGTGTGCTGCAGAAATATGTATTCAGGTAGCCATGGTGGGTCCTCGGGGTATAAGTGAAAACGGACCCCAGCGAAAACGGCCCCAAAAATCGAGATAAAGGCCACCGCTCACGAGAAAACGGCCACTGCTGCTAGAGAAAACGGCCTCTTGGCTTGAGCAAATGGCCATTATATACTTCTGTTCAAGAGTTTAGACTCACAGGTATCGTTCGCTATATCTCCGTCAACAAAATCGACCTCAAATCTGCTGTTTCTGAACACATCAACAAGAACCAGGACCACGCCATCGTATGGGAAGCCACCAAAGAAGCCCTATCTGTCAACAACAACAACTGGTGGCAAAGAAAATTGCAAGAGGCCATAGACATCAGAAGAAGCCAACCAGCAATCACTCGTGACTAGGGAACATATTTGCCTAGCGCTTGGGACTTATTAATTTAATTTACCATCACTGCTGGTCTCTTTGTACTTGTATTTATTACTATTAGGCCTGGCTTCCATTTGTTTTCTTACCACCCTGTTATATGCCACTGTTGTTACCTCATCAACTACGCCTGGATTAACAATCCCTGGCTTCCTTTTGTCCATCCACCCAGTTAGTGCTAATTATACCCCACCCCCTCCCCCTGGCTTTTATTTGTCTTTCTTATCAATCATGCCTGGATTAACAATCCCTGGCTTCCACTTGTCCATCCACCAATTAACTACTGGCTTCCTTTTTTATAATGTTGTTGTTTCAAAATGTACATATATAGCTGTCTGTTTCTAATTGCTACATTCACCTGATGAAGGAGTAAGAACATACTTCGACACGTCGTGACCCATCACAATAGAGAAGTTGACATCCATACAATTCTTGTCTTTATGTGTATCACTTCTAAATGGCCTTCAAAGACTCAATGATAACATAGTCAATAATAACAAATTTTAGGTTGTACATCTACAAGATGTATTCATGTATTATTTATTTACCACTCTTCATTCGTTTGTGTCTGAACAATGCAATATATATATATTATAATACTATATTTTTACATAGTTTCTTGTTATTGATAATAAATATGGTGATACGTGTATTTAAGACATACCTAGAATAAATAAGAACCCTTTCTATCAAACAACAGTATTTCAATTCTTTTTTAAGGGAGCATGACAAAAAACACCTTTTTAAAATAATTTTCCGCCATATTTGTAGTATTGAAGCATCATCAATGCGAGTTAGTGTATATATATATATGTGTGTGTGTGTGTGAGTGATGATAGTAAATATATTTCATATGATTTGATTTTAAGAGTATGACTTCCGCCATATTTTTAGTATTAAAGCATCATCAATGCGCGGTATGTAATGATTGGAAATAGAGATTGTTATCCTAGTGTGTTTCCGTATCATGAATATCATAATTATATTAGGAATGGCAATTGTATTATGCGAGCCTTTCATCGCGGGTAATGACCTCATCAATATCAATTTCTGATACCTGACGGAATCGATTTGTCTTCTGTATTGTGGTCGATAGATCGAAACCCTTGGTTGGTACCTCGTTGGTGCCTCATAATCCGTACCTTTAACTTGAACGAAGTACTCCGTTTCATATTTTCCAAAGTCAATTACTGCAGTAACGACTCCAGAACCTCTGTCATCAATTCTTACAGAATCACCAATTTTGAGAATGGGGGCAGCCATGTTTGTTTACAAAGTCGTCCACGCAATGGAAACTCGCGAAGACGTCATCAATTCATGTTAAACGTTTTAGGATTCGCATATCGTGTGGGGAGTTTTGTGAAAGTAGTTCGTGGATTGACATAATTTGCATAGTTGTCAGATTTGGATACCGAGTTTATTACATTGCTTTATTGCACCGATAACACTCTCCATTAGATGATAAATATATTTAATATATTTCTGTGATTAGATTATGTTCACATATTACAGCGTTTCCATTAATATGAATTTTCCGACATGATATTCAAAGGACCACGTTGTAGTTTAACTACTTCAAGGGCCAAATGGCGCCAAGTAGATATTTTTTAATCGAGTTTGCTGGCTGATATCCCACAGGATATTTCATTTTCGCCATGGAATCAAACGAGCTTTCATGTGATTTCGTATTGTATATTACTGGAAATTTACAACCAAACTAAACGCTCAAATGACCCAAAGAGCAATGTAAACGAGATAGCTCTGTTAAAAAATCGCTTATGTACTTTGCCGAGATCGACAACGTGATGTGTTACAATATTTACATAGTCAGTTAGCGAAATCATTGAACTTTTACAGTATGTAATTTGAAGTTGTAACGCCGTTGAAGGTATGCAGTTTTCATAACGTCACTCTCAAATATTCTATTATATGGTCTCTGAATAAACTGGGCACAGCACACAGGTTATATCTATGGAGCCTTCAGAGAGTTAACTCTGTCATTCCAGCCCCAGGTGTCGTCGACCTGACTTTCATGATGCATATAAACCTGAAGGTTGCTTCTCACTATATATTAGACATGGCTTCTTTTCCCGCCGCATTTGAGGTTTTTGATTGCTCCCAGGTTTTACTTTTCGTAAATAAATACGACCTATTTCCCGGTTTTACTTTTTCCTAACTCTATATTAACATCAACATTCAAATTCAGATGATATGTTAGTGTTTGAAATCAATTGAAAAATATCGTCAAAGATCAACTTAAATGTGCAAATGTTTTCCCTAGCAGGATTAGAACCGTATATTTCAGATTCATAAGCGGACGCTCTACCTCACAGTCACCGGGCCGACCAAAAACTAGGGTTGAATTATCTATTTATAGTTAGGCCTACTGTCATTCAATTGATTTTGCTAGCGCTTCAGTTACTGTTATGTAGCTTCATTACATGATCATCTAATTATCCATCATTGACCATCGGGTGGAGAGAAGTAAGACCTCGAGCGCTACGCTACGCGCTCTCGGTCTTACTTCTCTCCACCCTCCGGTCTCGGGTCTTACTTTCCCAACCATAACCTCGGAGTCGTGCTTTATCCTACACAGAACCACGTCACAGCTCATCTATATGTCACAGTTATAACGCGGCACTCATTAGGGATAGAATATTTTTAAAGAGCTACCATCTTCTGTTCAGCTGGATCACCTCATACAGCCTTACCTTGATCCATCTGTGAGATGTCTTTAGTTTCTGCACAACGTGTACGAGCTGAGCCTCTGTGAGTGTGACCGCCATTATTATTGACATGCGCAGTGTGTTTGTATAACGGGCTGTCTCGTTTTAACGCCCACGTTAGGTTTCAGTTTGTATTTGTATAATACTTATAAGCGCGTTTATCAAAGCCCCTGTGTGCAAAGACTTACATACAGGGTGCACCACACCATATACCTCGAGGGGATGGTTGGCAAAGAACTTATCTTGCCGACATTATTTCATACAGGTCGGGAATGGTTCATGTCTCTACCTGAGGTAACTTAATATGTACGTTAAACTGTAACTGTGTAATGCAGGGAGACTATATAACGTTGTATATTATCCCTGTGTAATGTGACTAACAAATTGCCTGCCTTTAAATTTAGTGCTATTACGTTTTTCTGTTTTTCAATGACAATGTAATGAATATATGTTTTTGAAATCAAACTCATTTTGACTCTGTACTTACAATGCTTATTAATGCAGACTTGTTCTCGTCACTATATGGCTGGAATAATGCCGATGTGACGTAAAGCCCAACTCAACTCAACTCATGTCTGTAGCTTCACCCAGTCAGCACATCTCACAGCAGACGAAGCAAACGGATATAGTTATCTCCCTTTACCCAGACATTTGGTTTGGATTGGTTGTTGTTTAACGGCGCACTCAGCAATATTCCAGCTATATGGCAGCGGTCTGTAATAATGGAACTTGGACCAGACAATCCGGTGATCAACAGCATGAGCATCGATCTACGCAACTTGGATACGATGACATGTCAATCAAGTCAGCGAGCCTGACCACCTGATCCTGTAAGTCGCCTCTTACGACAAGCACGGGCTACCTACGTACGGTGGATTCTGCTTTAGGCAGATATGATAATTATGACTGTGGAAAGGATGTAACGCTCTTATATTGTCGTTATGTATTCGGGCGTCAGTGGACCACACAACAGTCTCGTCTTGTAAGACTTGGAGACATTGATGATGTTTGGGTGAATGCTTTGGAAGATGTATGTTGTGTATAGGTGAAATGGACTATAATGTTTCATGTATTATAGTTTAAAGGTATCACGTATCATGTGTGAATGTTATATGCATTGTTGGTGTATAAGTGAAATGGTTATGTAAATTCGAGTATCATGTACGTTGTTTCATGTATCATGTGTAAATGTTATATGCTGTGGTACAATACATTTCAGAACAGGCTGTACTTAATCCCTTGTTAATCCCCCCAAGTAAGTAAATATTTTATTTACGTGTCACACAGTATACAGACATATGTACATACAGACAGGACAATTTAAAATTTACACCACCCGGCCAGTAGGCCTTTGAGACACGAGGTATCAGTAGGTTCATAGAAGTTAGTCAAGTGATCCCAATTATAACATGTGTTACAATGTGAATGTAGCTTTAAAGTCTGTCTATGATATAAAAACACACCAAAAAACCCAACAAAAAACAACCCCCCAAAAAAGCAAAAAAACAACCCCGACCCACCCCCCAATAACCGCAATCAGTGACAAGCATCGGTAGTGCACTATTTACAATGCAAGTTGGAACCTTCTCTTATACATAGCAGCTTCACACCTTGAAACAAAGGCAGCGGGCACAGTGAGGACGCCCCCAGTTACCCACGCGTATTGCCGTTCCATGTTGTGCTGAGAGAGATGTAAATCCGTCTAGGGTCAAGGAGTGAGGGGTCGGACGACCGGGACATCACATTCATGTGGCACACATTCATACAATGATTAACGCAACACCATGTCTTATACTCACATCAGTTTACCTTGTCTCACTCCACCTCTCTCACTACGGGGGCGGACGGGGTGGCCCAGTGGTTGAAGCGTTCGCTCCTCACACCGAAGATCCGGGTTCGATTCCAAACATGGGTACAATGTGTGAAGCCCATTTCTGGTGTCCCCCGCCCAGATATTGCTGGAATATTGCTAAAAGCGGCGTAAAACCAAACTCACTCACTCTTACTACAACTTCAACACAAGACCATAGTGGGAAACTGAGTGGCAGCGATTCGCCTCATTCATTGGGAAAACCCGCACCACACTACTCGTGTTAAAGGTATTTATTCAAATGGTTCGAATCTGGCCTGATCTTGATAAAATGTTCCAATACATCGTTTCGATTGCTTAAAAGTATATCTGATCATGAACTCATGTGTGTCGTGATAGGTAAAATACTGGACATCGGTCAATCAACCCTTTACAACTGTTCTTGATTGTGTTAACGTGAGCTAAATCTGTTCCATGTCTCATGACGAATATGTTCTGCTCTTACCACCTAAATAAATAAAGGATACTAAACTCGCTTCCGTGTAATACCATTTTTATTAAACGAGTTAATGATTTGATGCCTAATCTTTCACGAGTTTAATAAAAATGGTATTTCACGGAAGCGAGTTTAGTATTCTGTTTATTACACTCCAACATAAACTGATAGACACTGCCTACGAAGTGTGATGACTCTCAGCTATTCACGAGTCAAGCAAGGTCTAATACCATTGTGACAGAGGTATTAACATTGTGACGTCATAACTGTAAACCATTATGACGTCATACGTCTAGGGGTATTACACAAGTGCAATATTGCCGTAAAAATATTACACTGCAGTATCTTCCACGGTCGAGAATGACCGCAAATCTAAATAATGAATTTGTTGTAAGTTTCTAATGTTTTAGGAATTCATTTCTACTTTGCTGTTTAACCCAGCACTCGGCTGTTCATTTTGCTCTCACTGTAATAAAGAAGTTGTTCATCCACATATTTTTCATCCTTCCTTAAATTTGAGATGGGCTCTTGCGGACAGGCATGAGGATATGCCTATAAGAAAACAACCCTGTCAAATAACATGCTCTCTGGTGCTCGCTCCTCATACCATTTTAGGGAACGATTGTGTTTCTAACTTTGCAGTTCTGTTACATGTAATTTGTATTATGTCCGGTCAATGTAAATATTGCCAAATCATGCCAAATCCACCAGTCACCATTGGTTCAGCGAAATGTATAATCGTTGGATGTTGCTTTACGCCTCACTCCTATATTATATATATATATATATATATATATTGCATAGATAAATAAAAACAGAATGCCTTTTTCTCCAACATGTTTCGTTCTTTACTCTTCAGGGAGATTGTAGCGGTTACAGTATGACGTCATTACATATATATTGTGACGTCATAATAGGGACAACATTCTAGAGCGACAAGGTCACAGCTTGCAATAGTTTAACATTGGTTTGTACTTGTCTATGAAGTAGTGTTCTTTTAAAATTCGTTTTACTTTGTCCGAATTTTGAACTTGATAAAAAGGAAATATTGTAAATTTAACATCGTTTCCTTTCGCACAGACATCTAGATGTTCACTCAGTGGGATACATCGGGTTTCAGGACACTTTATTTGTTGTTTGTGGACACGAACCCGGGCTCTTAAATTTTCTGATTGACCAATATACTGTTCATTACAGCCTGTGCATGTTATGACATATATTATGTTTTTGCAAGAGCAGTCAAAATTCTGTTTTACATAGAATTCTCCGTGTCTCGTGAAAGTTACAGAGTGTCCTTCAACAATATGTCGACACGTTCCACAGTTACCTCTGTTGCATCTAGACACAGTAGGATTTGATAAATTCTGTTTCTTTGAAATAAATTTGGCTTTTGTTAGTTTCTTTTTAAGATTCTGATTTTGTCTTTTGCTATTTATTATTTTTCTAGATTTCAGCATTGATTTCAGTTTTTTCTCTTGTTCTAAGATTCACATATTTGTTTTTATGTTCTGGAACATATATCTGAACTGAAATCCAGATCAGTTACATTTATCGGAAGCAAGACCAAGAATGGAAGGATACTGACAAATAACAGTAATGTTCACTTCCAGTCTGGAGTTCCATACCAGCAGAAAACACACCAGGAGGAATACACAAATCAGAATCCAGTGCCGCGAAATCAAGGTAAAACTGATGTATTCCCCTCACAAAACCACAGATACTACAACTCTGAAAATCCTTTTTTATTCAACATTTGGAATGTGAAGAAAAGAAGGAAAATGAAAAACCAAAGACAGTAGACATAAAGATATTTAACTTGTCCAGGCGCCCTTTAACAGAAGATGAAATTACAATATTAAATAAGGGACTCAAATTTACACCTACCCCAAAATCAAGTAACTGCAATGAAGTGAAAGAAGACTTAACTGAATTCTGCAGAAAACTCCAAAATCAGGAATACGTTTTCGAGTGTGAAAATGGGGAGAATCCTAGTTAGAAATAAAAGTTTTGGTGCGCCAAAAGGGACAAAACAAACATTTGGATACTTTTGTGGATCAAATAAACAGTTATCCAATAATTCCCTAACGCAAGCAAGAAACACTCTAATATAACCAGCAAACAGAGAGATTCTTTAAACTCTTTGGCCAATGATCCGAACATCATAATAAAAGAAGCTGACAAAGGCGGAGCAACAGTGATAATGGATTCAACGAACTACAAACACATGGCAATGGACTTACTCCTGGACGAAGGTACTTATGTCCCGTGCAGTGAAAAAGAGTCAGACAGTGTACTTCGAAATTAAAGAACCTAACCAGTCAGTACTCAGAAGAGCTGACATCAAAGGAATTAAATTATATAACACATTTTGACTGCAAATCGAGCAATTTCTATGGCTTACCCAAAATTCATAAAAGTAAGGAGATCATAAGACATTGTGAAAGTGCTAAAAGCAGCTATGTTGAGATGGAACACCCGGGAGATTTGAAACTCCGACCTATAATTGCAGGCCCAGCGTGATCTACACATAGACTAAGTAATTTCATTGATATTTTATTAAAACCAATCTCATCAAATGTTAAAAGTTTTACTCGTGACACCATGCATTTCCTTTCCTCTTTACCACAAAACGTTAATGAAACAAGCAAACTTGTAACTTTTGATGTAAAAAATTTGTATTCAAATATCCCACACAGCCTAGGAATTAAAGCGTTGGATTATTGGTTAAACCGTTGTGAAGAACACATTCCTGAGCGAATTTCAAAGTCATTCATTTTGGAAAGCGTTGAATTCATCTTAAAAAACAATATTTTCTTTTTTTGACGATAAGTACTATAAACAGATTAAAGGAACAGCCATGGGAACCAAAATGGCGCCGACTTATGCGACGCTTGTCTTAGGATATCTGGAGGAAAAGTTCAAGCATAAAATCAGTCAAATTCTTGGAGAGGATGTTGCCCATTATTTCATGGAAAATTGGAAAAGATTTCTAGACGACTGCTTCATAATTTGGCCATTTTCTGAGGAGAAACTAAATACTTTTTACGAACTATTAAATAGCATGGACGAAAATCTTGTTTTCACTATGGAGGCAGATCAAACTAAAACAGCTTTCTTAGACACAATCAAATCGGGGCGGAAATTGGACACAGATATCTTCTACAAACCTACAGATACGAAACAATATTTAAACTTCAAATCTTGCCATCCGAGCCACACCAAAAGAAGTCTTCCATATAACCTGGCACGAAGAATATGTACAATAGTTTCAAACCAAGACACCCGCAATCAAAGACTGAATGAACTTAGGATGTTTTTACTATTACGGGAATATCCAAAATCTCTTGTTGAAGACGGAATATATAAAGCTTTACAGCTTAATAGAGACGATCTTTTGACAGGAACAATGAAACAAACCAATGAGGAAAAAGTAATTGCTTTTGTATCTACTTATAATCCGTTGAACCCAAATGTGTTCCAGAACATAAAAACAAATATGTGCATCTTAGAACAAGATGAAAAACTGAAATCAATGCTGAAATCTAGAAAAATAATAAATAGCAAAAGACAAAATCAGAATCTTAAAAGATACTAACAAAAGCCAAATTTATTTCAAAGAAACAGAATTTATCAAATCCTACTGTGTCTAGATGCAACAGAGGTAACTGTGGAACGTGTCGACATATTGTTGAAGGACACTCTGTAACGTTCACGAGACACGGAGAATTCTATGTAAAACAGAATTTTGACTGCTCTTGCAAAACATAATATATGTCATAACATGCACAGGCTGTAATGAACAGTATATTGGTCAATCAGAAAATTTAAGAGCCCGGGTTCGTGTCCACAAACAACAAATAAAGTGTCCTGAAACCCGATGTATCCCACTGAGTGAACATCTAGATGTCTGTGCGAAAGGAAACGATGTTAAATTTACAATATTTCCTTTTATCAAGTTCAAAATTCGGACAAAGTAAAACGAATTTTAAAAGAACACTACTTCATAGACAAGTACAAACCAATGTTAAACCATTGCAAGCTGTGACCTTGTCGCTCTAGAATGTTGTCCCTATTATGACGTCACAATATATATGTAATGACGTCATACTGTAACCGCTAAATCTCCCTGAAGAATAAAGAACGAAACATGTTGGAGAAAAAGGCATTTTGTTTTTATTTATCTATGCAATATTTATGACTGAACACCTGTACTACTTTGGACATTTTGTGCGTATATATATATATATATATATATATGTGTGTGTGTGTGTGTGTGTGTGTGTGTGTATGCGTGCGGCGTAAAACTTTGCATTTCCAGCATACACAAAATCGATCTTGTAACTGAAATGTGAACCATTGAACGTAGAGCAAATAGTCCCGTAAACGCCAGGGTTGACAGTCAAAAGTCTGGTGTCACTGATAAGTTGTGATTGATCACTGTGCAAGTTTCACGCCTAGCCATGGGGTAAAACGGTTGGCTGTGTATTAGATAAAACTAATGCAGTAGAGCTTCTGACCGCCTCCGTAGTGTAGTGGTTAGAGCGTCCGCCCGGAGTGCGGAAGGTCGCGGGTTCGATCCCCGACCGCGTCATACCAAAAGACGTTAAAATATGGTACTTGTTGGTCCCTGTCTGGCGCTCGGCATTAATGGGTACAACAAGGACTGGTCGGCTCGGAGTCAGTATAATGTGTCTGAGTGGGGTATTCATGCTTCACTGCGGCATGGTATCTCAGTGGGCTAGCACTATAAAACCAGCTTCAGTCTGGGCTAGTACAAGCAGCCGCACATACACATACACACGCATAGATAAAGGAGTGAGTTTGGTTTTACGCCGCTTTTAGCAATATTCCAGCAATATCACGGTGGGGGACACCAGAAATGGGCTTCACACATTGTACCCAGGTTTGGAATCGAACCCGGATCTTCGGTGTGAGGAGCGAACGCTTCAACCACTGGGCCACCCCGTCCGCCCCATGAGACCAGGACATTGTTTCATCATTGAGAAGTATAACAATATATTTTTTCATGAAAATGCACATTTTGCAAATTGACGGAGTAAAGCACATGACAATACCTTACCTATGCTTGTGCTAAGCAAATGTACCGGTTGTAAACTTTCGTTATATATATATTGTGTCGCACTTATATCAAACTGGATATTTCATGCGCTACATGCAGTAAAGTGGTGTTTGCATTTTGATACTTACGGGACATTTTCTAATAGACATAGGAATTAGGGACTGAATACATGTTGATATGTTTTGTGAAGCTTTAACAATTGTACTTCACTTTTCGAGCGGGTAAAGGTGATGAAACACTCTGACGTTCAGGAGTAAAGAAGTGACCAGAGAAACTGTTTGAATTTACGCGTACGCGGTGTTACGTGAAAGTTATGTGAACAATGTTATAGTTAAAGATATATAAAGATATATGAATGCAGTTATAAAGGTGACCAGTCATAAACTCTCATGTCAGAAGAAAGAGGGGAGAATGAAATACGTATTGAGTACAATGAATGTTTCGCCTGATGTGGAACACAGACAAGGTTTGTTGCAATGGGTGCGGCGTTTCGGTGTAGTTGTTGACAGCGTCAGCAAGCAGGTAACAGCTTCTAAAATGCCGTTTTAAGGTGTACCTGAACCAGTGCACGCAGTTTCATAACATATACACAAAGTCACAGTACAGAGAAAAAGATGAGCGTCATAAAGAAATAACCAGTGATGATATATGTTGTCTGCTGGACACATACATCTGGCAACACGTGGTCAGACAGCCCCCCTCAGCCTCAACTCGATAAGTGCATTGGGGTAGCCTAATGGTTAAAGCGTTGACTCGTCACGCCGAAGACCAGGGTTCGAATCCCCACATGGGCACAATGTGTGAAGCCCATTTCTGGTGTCCCCCGCCGTGATGTTGCTGGAATATTGCTAAAAGCGGCGTAAAACTAAACTCAGTCAGTCAGTCAACTCGATAAAGTTACCTAAGCCGGCCATGTTATTGAGGATGAAATCAACGTATATTGCACTGCTAAAACAAACAAACAAACAAACAAACAAACAAAAAACACACACACACACACACACACACACACACACACACACACACATTCTTCCGAATATCCAATTTCTCAGATATGGTGCCTTGTGAGTGAAAGACAAAGCATCGGCAATACATTTGCACCTGTATATTTGCATGTAACGTATATTACATAGACACAATCGGATAACAGAAAAGATCACAAAGAATGTCATATTCATAACATGCATTTTTACGTTTAGTGTACGTATCAATAGTTACACGCTATCCAGTTAGCTGTCACGTTTGGGACAACCTCAAATCCCATATTTTCATGCAGCCTCAAAGACGGCTCATTATCAGATTCTATTATCACAGACACCTCTGTCTTTACTTGCAGGTTCTTTAGTGCCAGTTGGGACATGATGACCTTTCCGTACCCCTTCCCTCGGTGCTCTTTGATCACGTGCAGCATCCCCTGACACCCGTAGAGATAGGTAAGGGCGTACCCCAATAGTACTCCTGCCTCGTTGTAGAGACAGGTCGAAGGACGCTTGCTTATCAGGAGTCTGATATGTGCCTCAGATGCTTCTCCAGAGCTGAACTTCCACAGGGAATTTATCAAAGGGGCTTGGTCTGTCTGTACACTGGTCAGGGTGAAGCCTTCCGGAACAGGCCTGTGTAAATGTGATAAAACAGCAACATATATACTGAACCACAAAAGAAACGTCGCTTTTCAAAACAAAATGCAAGATTTTGTTATTACAATATGATGTTTTTATTATGATTGTATCGTTTTGTTAACACGTTTTTCAATTCAAATTGATAGTTATAACCAACATCAGTGTGTTTTCTGATGAAAAAGCATTTCGACCAAACGCACCTAAAAAGACAGACGTGGTAAAAGGTTGCGTATGATATTTTTGTTTTGACACACTTGTCATGGCACGAATTACTAGAGATCAGAGGAACCAGTCATCGGACGATTGCCAGTTGGCCAGACTGCCAATCATTTTAATGTTCATGTTAGGACAATCTACCGACTGCAGGAGTGGTATCGGGTCACTAAGAGCATCCAAGACCGTCCACGCAGTGGGCGACCTTCAATAACATCGCAATGTCAAGACCGACAGATGGTGCGCCACCATCTGCAGGGTCGCTTCCCCAGAACGACGGAAAGAGCACGCCAGACCATTGGGACTAACAGCAGACCCATCAGTGCCGATACAGTGCGTCGGCGTTTGCGCGGAAGAAACCTCTGCTGTCACAGACCATATCGTAGTCCTGTCCTCTCCGCTCCTCACCGCCAAAACCGACTGCAATGGGCAACTCAGCATCGGAATTGGCGTTATCGACAATGGAGAACCGTGTTTTTTCTCATGAAAGCCGATATTGTGTTTCGACAGTCGATGGCACAGTGAGAGTATGGTGAAGGTGTGGAGAACTGTTTTCCAGTGAATGTGTTGTTGAAAGAGACTCGTGGGGTGGTCCTAGCATCATGGTGTAGGGTGCAATCGGTCTGAACCAGATAGCTAGCACCGTGGTGTTCCAGAATCTCGGTCCAGGATGAGGAAATGACGTGACAGTTGCTCGTTATATTGATCAAGTCATAAAACCCCACATTGTACCACATTTTGGACGTTACAGAAATCACATCTTCCAGCAAGGCAACGCTCGTGCCCACACTACCAGAGTAACATTGGACTTCCTAAAACAACATGGCATCCAAACTCTACAATAGCCTGCACTCAGTCTTGATTTGAGTCCAATAGAACACCTTTGAGACGAGATTCAAAGAAGACTAAATGACCGCCACCCAAGGCCGACAACTGCTGCTGGACTCGCTCAGGATTTCACAGAGTATGGACCCTAAGTGCGTATGGCCTTCATCAACCGGCTAATTTATTCCATGTACAGACGATGCAACGCTTTCATCGATGCTTATAGTGGCCACAAACAATACTGACTTTGGGGTATCTTAATGGTACCATTTTTGGTGATTTTGTTTGTGTAAACTGTAAATGTGATTCCCAAAATGTGTTAACAATAATTGCCAAGTTTGAACTCAATCCTCCGTTTTGATTGATCATTAGAGTGAATTAAAGTGTGTGCTTTAAGAAACCGATATCAGTGCGACATTTCTTTTGTGGTTCAGTATATAAATCAATACAAATGAGAGATTTTAAGGAGTTTTTTGTTGGTCACCTTCTTTGTAAAACAAACGACAAAGGCCAAGTCTCGCCACTTTCTCTAGAAATCACAGCTAAAAGTAAAATTTAAATTATACGATTCCGACAATATTATGAACATGCGTCTATGAATCGCTATCAAATTGTAATGATCCTAGGTGTTCGTCAAACCATTACACACACATACATATGGTAGTCCATTGTTCAATTTAAAGCCCTTAAACGACTGGTTCAAGACAAAATAGAGATTTGCATCACGAATCTGAAAGTTATCTTCCACGTGTCTACTATAAAACGCTTTTCTAAGGCCCTGAATACTGAAACCTTGATAAGACAAATTTGAGCAAAGGTCTTTTCAGGATCTTTGAAATCTTGGTAAACATGCTCGATTGTATCTCAGAATTTGTGGAATGGAGACACCGCAGGCATGAGGTGCTGGAATATTAAACGCAAGAATTGTATGGATGTCAACGTCTTTCTATTGAGAAACACGACGTTTCGAAGCATATTCTTACTCGTCTATCAGATGCTTGAAAAAACTAGGAAACGGACAGCTATATAAGTACACGTGAAACAACAACAGTGATACGACAACAACAAGGGAAGCCAGTAGTTAATTGGCGCAGATTGGTAAAGGCAATGGATAGTTAGAAGCCAGGGTCCCGACCCACAAAACGATCGCAGCTAGCGGTACGACATTCGTAACCTTATGATAAATTATACAGTTACGTTAAGTCGTAAGGTTACGAACGCTTTGTGGATCGGGACCCAGGGATGAGTCTTGGAATCAGCGATGACGTAACAAACAGAAACCAGTGGTTAATGGCGCTGATAGGTAATGACAATAAACAAATAGAAACAAGAAATTAATCCAGGCATAAAGAAGCTGACATCCATAAAATTCTTGACATCCATAAAATTCTTGCGTGTGTATCCGGCACGTGTAGCGCACGTTACATTTCAAAATCATCAGTGTGTCCCTTCTAAATGCCTTTCAAAGACCTTTGCTGAAAAATTGTTAAACTTAAAGCAGGGTAACTGAAAAAAGATTGTCATTTAACATATATGCAATAAATATGAACTCGAAGTCCATGATAATCGAACACTAATATCTCGTCATCAACCTAATTCTTTCTTTTTGCAGCTGGTGGTCATGGCTTGATCTCGTGGACAAAGTATGACCTTCCAGAACAGTCCTATATGGAGAATGCATATTGTAACAATACTGTTTAACAGGAGTTTATGGAGTCGAAGTATCAGGACTCTCATTAGCAGCAACAAGAAGGGATATACATTCTTCCATGATACTGGAAAACTGACATCGCGTCATCAGCCTAATGTTTTCTTTGTTTCCAGCGGGTGGTCACGGCTTGATCTGGTGAACCGAGTACGACCTTCTATAACAGTACTATATGTAGAATGCATATTGTAACAATACTGTTCAACAACTTATGATGTTGAAGGAATAAGTATCGGAATCTCATTATAAGCAACAAGAAGGTATAGATATAAATAAAAACAGAATGCCTTTTTCTCCAACATGTTTCGTTCTTTACTCTTCAGGGAGAGTCACAATAGGGACAACATTCTAGAGCGACAAGTTCAACCCAATGTTAAACCATTGCAAGCTGTGACCTTGTCGCTCTAGAATGTTGTCCTTATTGTGACGTCTCAATATATATGTAATGATGTCATACTGTAACCGCTACAATCTCCCTGAAGAGTAAAGAACGAAACATGTTGGAGAAAAAGGCATTCTGTTTTTATTTATCTATGTAAAATAGATCTATGTAAAATATATATATATATATACTATATAACGTTGTAGATTATCCCTGATCTAGGGGACAGAGTATGACCTTCTGTGACATATTGTAGCAATGCATATTGTAGCATACAGTTCAACAGCTTATGGTGTTGAAGGCCGAAATATCAAAATCGGAGTAACAATTAGGTAAATGCATAGTTCAGTGAGTGAATGGTGTGAATGGTGTGTTGTTATTTACACATATAAACTATTGTACCTGAGTTTCAGTGATCTCTGTGTGACTGTCATGTAGACCACATCGATGTTAACTTTACAGGGAATCTGGAAATGGTCCATCACTTCTGTAACAACTGGTACCAGCCTAGTGTGCACGGCTGCAACTAGAAGACAAGGGATACATACTTGCAAAATACTGTTTTGTCTTTTCAGGTAATTATAAAATACGAAAAGAGCATGAGCAAATTTAGGAATGAGAGCAAGGCAAAGTTTCAGAAAGATTGCACCAGTGCAGATTAATATATTAACACCACAATCTACAATTGAAAAGAACTTTATCCATGTAAATATGACCAGTCGTTGATTTCAACCAGCATTTGATTTAGTATATCTATAAGACCCTATTCTGTTCATGACCCGTGAAGATTCTGGTTAGAATTGGTCTTCAGTAACCCATGCTTGTCGTAAGAGGCGACTAACGGGATCGGGTGGTCAGGCTCGCTGTCTTGGTTGACACATGTCATCGGTTCCCAATTGCGCAGATCGATGTTCATGATGTTTATTACTTTATTGTCTGGTCCAGACTCGATTATTTACAGACCGCAGCCATATAGCTGTAATATTGCTGAGTGCAGCGTAAAACAACAAAGAAACATATCCCTGGACGTATTGGTTCACACAAATCAGTCTCAGCGTGACATCGTCGTCTAAATGTTAGACAAAATATTCTGCTTTCCAGAATAACAAACCAACCAACCAACCGTTTTGTTCGTCTTTGGAAACTGTTGTTTTGAAGCTGAAAAGTTAACTATTGTTTAAGCTGTATGGGTCAGATAAATATATATTGTAAAGGTGCTTTTCCTGTATTTATCAACGAATTTCCAAACGTATGGCCATACATTGCAAACAGTGTGACCTGCACGGCTTGCCCAAAAACATTTACAGGTACAAATACACCACTGCCAAGAATTGAATTTAGAAGTAAAATCGGACTAAAAATCCCGAATGAAATAAATATACTTTAATGATAATATATATATTCGGTATATTATTTAATTGTGCTTTGTAAACAGCAAGAGAAAATAATGCACTTATAACAGACTGTACACATTTCATAAAAGTCTTGCTTAAAAGTTGCTTGGTAAAAGTTACAACGCCCTAGGCATCAGTAAAGCTTTCAAGATGTCTTATACTAGACAGGTGTCAGTGACAAAAATGATTTCCACTTTTAGAGATTATTATCTATCTGATCTGTACAGTTAGTAAATGTCACTCTCAAACTAAAAAATATAAAGCTATGCAATCAATAATTTTTATTAGGTCGAAATATGGATGTAGAATCACGAATTCATCTCTTCGCTTTTATTTTATTTTTCTAGATATGGTATCCCGATGCTTTCCGTTAAAACCGATTTGTCCTCAGGAAGTGTTTCGGTAGCCTTAAATCAGAGCAAAAGGTACCTATACTTCTATCTATGTCTATATATCAATACCATGTGTCGTTTGTTAATTAATGAAACTTTCTCTCTGTCTCTCTCTCTCTCCCTCTCTCTCTCTCTCTCTCTCTCTCTCTCTCTCTCTCTCTCTCTCCTCTCTCTCTCTCTCTCTCTCTCTCTCTCTCTCTCTTTCTCTCTCTCTCTCTCTCTCTCACTGTCTCTCTCTCTCACACACACACGCACACGCACACACGCGACGTTGCTATTTAGAAAACATCTTTCGGGTAACACATATCACATATCAAATATTAAGTGTTTCGTATGGGATTGTATGGGAGTCTTGGATAGTATTCACAAACATGAAAGTATGATAAATGTCTTACATACGAACCGCTCTTTTTTCTGTGCCCAGTTAAATATATCCGGACTGTGTAGAAAGCTCTTCAGTGCATTCTTGTCTGTGGCGTAGAGATTCACGCTACTTTCAGAATATCCCATCTGTCAGAAAGTCAAAAGGGAATATGCCCAAATACATAATTAACCACTGAGTCTTCTTTCAAAACAACGGCTAATCGATCATTTGTTTACCATACAGAGATGTGTTTCAAGGTGCCTATCATAAAGCACCCTTTACCCCAGAATCTGTGTGCTCAGTTGTCTTATCCCAAGAGCAACTTGCTTGATTTTAGCACTTCTGTTTCCACAAAAAAAATCACTTTAAATTTAAATGTTTCAAATCCGAATGTATAGTTTCGAGACAATGATGTTACAAAACTATGGTCAGGAAAAGGGAACATACATAATAAACGTGTGACGAGTTAACCATGTACAAGTACATAAAAATCAGGTTTGGTACATATACTTAAAGCATTCTTGACGTTTCATGTATTTGAATATATACTTCTCTTCAAAAGTTTTGACTCACTTAAAACACTCACTATATATATATATATGGTTGCATCGAAGATTGATTTCTCCACTAACTTGGGAGAACTAACTGCAAACCTTATGCAGATGAATTGCACTAGGATCATGCATCAAATTGCTGAAAAGCATGTGCAAATATCGTGCATGTGAACAGCTGCGTTGTGGTGTAAAGTTTTTTAAGAATTCGCCAATTTTCACTGATTTTCATCATTTACTGATCTCATGACAATAATTTTTTCAACGTTACGAATTTGTTTTACAATACATCAGTTCATGTGTAAACAGTACCTTTAAACAGTATGGAATATTTTGCAAAATATAGTTTAGAACAGCTGCCTGAAGTAAGTGGCTATATTTACATTAGTGAGCCTAAACTTTGGATGGGTAGTATACATGTATATAGTAACAGACCTACTTGTACATTGCCCAGTTATAAAGCAAAGAGCGAATTACCGCTTCAGGTTTCGCCTGCGAAACAACTGCTGTGAATTCTGGCCATCGGTCCACAATGAAATCATAACCACCTGTGTGGTTTTCCAGTGTGGCGTCTATTTCTCCTACTATCTGCAATCACACAAAAGAACATGTTTGTTTTAACCCTGGAAGCTTACTAATGAGTCTATAGTCATGGTATCAGAGTTGATTTGCATACGGTAGATTATTCTCTAGCCTCTGCTGTATGTTGTGGAAACGACGTTAATTTCAACCTACAGTCCGTTTGGCTCAAAAGCGGACCGATGAATTGCAATCTAACTCGACAACTAATAAACATAAAATACTCAATGAAACGCTGATCATAATCAAAACATCATACCAACTCTGTGAGTTTTTTGCGGAATTTTTGTCCCAAAATAAAAAAAGTTGTTTAACAATCTATCATTAAAATATTGACACAGTTCACTGTTTGTTACGAGGGAGGAGTGCAGAGAAAGGGACAGCCAGGTGTTCGAGAAGCACGTTCACAGACAAAGTTATTTATTCATAAACCTGTGCTGTGCCGTCTCCATCCGTTCGCGAACACCTGGCTGTCCCTTTCTCTGCACTCCTCCCTCGTAACAAATAGTGAACTGTGTCAATATTTTAATGATAGATTGTTACACAAATTTTTCACTTTTTAGGACAAAATTCTGCAGAAACGTCACAGAGTTGGTATGATGTTTTGATTATGATCAGCGTTTCATTGAGTATTTTATGTTTATTAGTTTTCGAGTTAGATTGCAACTCATCGGTCCGATTTTGAGCCAAACGGACTATAAACTACGTGTACGTCATGCCATAGCTTACAGAAAACCTGCGTCCCCGCGCCGTGTGTATGTTGGAGACTGGAATGGCCCAAAATAAAGTGGCCAGACATTTTGGTATCCATCGAAACACGATCTCATCTCTGTGGAGACGTTTTCAACATAACTGCCTTGGACCGGATCTCCACGCGTGACGTCACGTCAGCAAGACAACCACATTCGGCTGACCCATCTAAGGAATCAATTCCAGACTGTCAGTTTGACTGCTCGGACTATTCCTGGCTTACGTCCACTCAGCTTCAGGACTCTACGGAACCGACTGAGGGAGCACAACATCCCACCCAGGCAGCCTGCAATACGTCCAATATTGCTCCAACGTCACCGATAGGCACGTCTTGCCTTGTGCAGACAGTATCTACGGTACAGATGTTTCATTGACGAGTCTAGATGTTATCTGGACAGCTCAGATGGAAGGGCAAGGGTGCACAGAGTGCGAGGTGAACGGTATGTTGACACGTGCGTTGTTCAACGTCGTCAGTTTGGTGGCGAAAGCGTTATGGTATGGTATTGTATGGTATGGTATGGTACCATTTACGACCCATGGTCGAACACAGCTTGTCGTTGTCAGTTGCAATCTCACAGGTTTGCTATACAGGGATTAGAGCATTGGGCCTCATGTTCATACTCAACTTCACGTTTCAGGTTTCTCGTCCACATGTGGTGACAGATTCCGATACTCCGCAGAACATTCCGATGCTCCCTGGTCAGCTGTTTCTCCAAACATCCCCTATCGAGCATGCTTGGGACGAAATGGAGCGACGTTTACGTCAATCCCAGAATCAGCCATTGACGTCAACTGAATTGGGACAAGCGTTGGTTCAGACATGGAACAACATTCCCCAAGTTTTCAATCGCTAAGGGCCGTCCATGCGTCGGCGCCAACGGTGGACACACACGATACTGAATTTGTGAACTCTTCAAGGGCGTGCCACGATGCACGAGAGAGAGAGAAAGAGAGAAACTTGTTTTGGATTCTTTCATTGGTTGAAGGGCGCTAGCTGACAAGAATTTGTTGCTTATTAGTCCTTGGGAAATTAAATATAAATATGTGCATATCAAGATTGTATCATTAATTAACAAACAACACATGGTTTTGATTTATAGACATAGAAGTCTAGGTAGCTTTTGCTCTGATTTTATGCTACCGAAGCACTTCCTGAGGACAAATCGTTTTTAACGTAAAGCATCGGGATACCATATCTAGACAAATAAAATTAAAGCAATGCCTTAATAGGGACACCTGTCTAGTACAAAACATTTTGAAAGCTCTTGGGTGTTGTAACTTTTACCAAACAACTTTTAAGCAAGACGTTTATGAAAGTGTGTGCTGTCTGTTATAAGTGCATTATTTTCTCTTGCTGTTTACAAAGCACAATTAACAATTATACCGAAGAATTTACTAATAGCTGTATAGACTCCCCTCGATTCTGAGTTCAGGCGTGGTAGCAACAAGTACTATTCTCCGACGTGTTTACACGACCTTCGCTCTCGGGAAAACGCATTATCCTCTAGGCCACGAACCCCGTACAAAGAGAAGGAGGATATATAGCAGTTTTACCTTCAGCGTCCCCGGATATGTCTTCAGTTTCTGCCTTACTTGAACCAACTTATCTCTTGTGAGCCTGAGCACCATTCTCGACGTAGCTGGTAACAACGTAAGACGGCGGTCCGGTACTACTTCCGCGTTTCACTACAGGTGGTGAAGAAAACCTCAGTATACGATCTGGTATTCTCTTGTGTTGGCTGATGAAAGAAAGCATAAAATATAGGTCACGAAGATTTACAGCGCTCGACGTGGTATTGTACAGATATTGTGTGCAATGTTCAAGTTTTATCACGAAGGACGTTAATAGCTCTGTGGCCCGTAACAGATAAATGAATACCTCTATGTTACATGTACAATGACACATATACTCAATCAGTTATAACATTCTAAGTATCCGCAACCTTATGCAGCCTTACAGTGCACAGTCAGATCAAAGCGGTCCCCAGGTCACGTGACTAACAATATCTTGGGTCAACTACCTTCACAACAATCTCCTAATTTAAGTAAAAATCGTGTGCGTCTACATACCTGACAGTTGACACGGCTGGGCTGCATGTCCTATATAGCGTTATCTCTTATGGAGTAGTTATTTCGAGTCAGTGGGTCAAGGACCGTCGGTCTATCACATGTTGGTATGATAACGTCATAATGTTATATGGTTCGTAGCGTTATCGGTGCGGTAAGTTAATTATGAAAGCTTGATTTGACAATTCGATGCAAATGCAAATGATGTTACTTAGCAAAGCAATATTTTATATGATCAATGGAATAATTACAGTGCAGATATTTCCTAATACTTAATATGTTTCACAAATTATTCTTAACAAATGAAATCCGTATATGTGCAGGCCGCTGTGCATGGTGAATCTGGTTTATAGCACCACTAGTCAAGTGCAGCATTCCATTATCTATCTGTCTGTCTGTCTGTATAATCTAAAATACAGATTAAATTAATGAAGTCTTAGTAATTACCTTAGTAATTGTGTGTTCATGATCTCACACAGCATCCGCAGAAATAGACCTTCTATATCACGTATGTTATATTGATGTGGATATAGACACATGTATGAAAGTAACAGCTTTTTCTTTTCTTTACTTTCTTTTTGAGTTTTGTTTTATTGGATCCCAAGATTTCAATGTCAGCTGTACAAAAGTGATGTACAGACAGATACATGATGTACAGGTATTATGTCAATATCATGTTATTACACACATATAAGTCAATAAAAGAGAAATATGATATCAGGTAAATATGGATACATTTTAAATTCATCAAAGTACTGGGAAGAGATGGCCCCATTTATGATTGAAATGTTCTATTTTTTTTTTTGTGCATATATGGTTTTCCATAAAGAATATTTCTTTCAGAGCTTTTATAAATAAATTATGTTTGGATGCGTATTCTTAATACTGCATACGTAAATGTGTCTTTTTGCTGCAATGATGATGGGATTTAGTAGTATGTTATGATGTAGAGTACCAAACCAAACCATATGTTTTGATAATAGCAATGGATGATGGTATAAATTGTTAAGCCAAATTTGTATGTTTTTCCAAAAGGTTTATGCCTCCTGACATTCCCAGTACACATGACAAACGCTCTCATTTAAATCATTGCAGAAACAACATAGACTGCTATCAACTTTTTTCATTTTAAGCAATTCTCTTTTTGTATAAATAACACCTTGTAGAAATCTAAGTAACAGTTTTTGTTGTGTGCTTGATCCTCCGTGGGCAGCAAAACAGTGAACTGTGTTTTGCAAAACATTTTGTTGACGCTTACTTTTTACGTTTGTACTTGCGTGAGATTGGTTCTTTGTACGTGTGTGCAGATAAATGCCTGCATGTTAGGTGAGCTAAAGCCATGATGCATTTCAGATATCTGGAAACTCTTTATCCGGATGATATTTGATGAATTGTTCGGATAATCGAGGTTTGACTGTAGATGGATGTATATAATCTATCTTAAAACCTTTTATGGAAGACAGTATTCCAATGTTAATTGAAAAGTATCACAATTAGAAGCGACTCGGCTCTTAAATCCACTGTTCTGGTTCTGGAGTTCATGTACATAGTTTGTAAAATCTACGTTATTAATCACAGACAGTGATACTGGAGTTAAAACTTTTAATAAAATCTGAAACAAAATATACATGCAATACATTCAATACATCCAGCCATAATATCGCGCTACAGATGAGCACAAAGTATCGTTATATGAACCTGTATAGCGATATACATTATAATGAAATGTATGATGGTTTCCGGTTCCGATGGTCACATTCAGCGTAAGTCATCATGTTTGCTCGTGCAACTACTTACAACAGCAATAAGAAATAAATATTAAATAAAACCTTTATAAACTTGATTAGTTAAATAAAACATTGCGATTTAAAAATACAAAACTTAAAATTATCCAGTCACTGCTGCCAGATGTCTCAATCTGCACTGAATGTACGAAAACTACTGGTTGAACGACTGATTCAGACTTGATGTAGATGGACCTATAACAGATGCATATAAGGATGCCTTCTCGAACGACTGCCGGCTAGTATGATGACGCCATCACTGGCTTGGGATGAAATAGCCAATAAAATTTCAAAACCATAATTTCTGCTTAAATCCAAGTCCGGTGTAACATTTCGATTTTGACAAATGAGACTCCCTTCGATGGTCTTTCCACTTTAGATATGGGTGCGCCAATAGCAGAAACTCGATTATTTGACAGTAGACGATGAACAATTACAAGAGTCCGTTATATGATTTCGACTATGTCATAAGCATGTTTGAGATTCACCATTAATTTGTGGTGATACTACTTGTTCGCAAAAGGGTGACGTCAGGTGAAATGGGGTTTAACGTCGCACTTAAGAATGTTTCGCTCATATGACGATGTGCATTTGCGTGTATGTGTGGCTGCTTGTACTAGCCGGACTTAAGCTGGTTTTATAGTGCTAGCTCACTGAGATACCATGTCGCAGTTAAGCATGACTACCCAACTCTGACTCCGAGCCGACCAGTCCTTGTTGTACCCATTAATGCCGAGCGTCAGGCAGGGACAAACACACGCAAAAGCTATTCATCTGACAAATCGTGAAACATGATTTTGATTGAATTGTGTTGGAAATCATTCATTTATTGGTATTTTCTAATTGGGACATCTTTCTCATATTGATTTTCAGAGTCAAATCATAATTTCCACTGACAGTTTGCTAACTATTGAACACTTCCTTCTCAGCTGTTGGTATATTGGACGTTGGAGTCAGGTCTACCCACGAAAGCCTCAAGTCTGGCACTTCTACAAATCCTAAATCTGTATGAAGCTTCAGCGACAGATGGTTGTCGCTTTCAACAACCACGGAAACATACTTCTGTTCCTGAAGACATTTCTGTGCTAAGTGGGACACGATCACCTTGGCGTACCCCTTCCCCCTGTAATCTTCTTTCACGTGCAACATCCCCAAAAAGCCGTAGTGGTAGGTGAAGGCGTAGCCCACCACGTCTCCCGTGTTGTCGTACAGGCAACAAGACGGCATTTTCCCAATTATATCTCTGATGTAATTTATGGAGTATTCACTACTGAACTTCCAATTAGAGTTGGCCATCTCCGACTGATCTGGTTTGAGACTTGTCACTGTAAACCCGTCAGGTATCGGCCTGCAACACAACACAAACAAACACTGTTGTGTTGAAGATGGAGGGTGCAAGGGAGTTAATCAGAAGCATAATAAATCTGATCAAAATTAAAATACATATATAGACAATTAAAAAATGTCCATAGACCACCTAAATCTTTTCCCTCTTTTGCGATCATGGGGACTTACAGTACCTTTATGCTCTGGTTCCCTGTATCAGCTATTCAAGATTTATCTGTTGTGTAAATTTCTCTTCAAAAGTCGAAAATTAAAAGAGCATTGTCATGATTACAAAAGAACTTTTAAAGTAATTAAAGGATAAGAGATATTCACTGTGCGTGAGAAATCTGTATCAACGGTCATAGGTTTCAAGTTCAAGTTCAATTTATTCTCAAATAACCACATATAAATACATATAGACAAAAATGACAAAATGGCAGGTAGAACAGGTCAAAATTAAACATAATAATACCATACATTGAGAGCTATTAAATGATTTGTTGCTTATATAGAATGAGTAAACTGAGATAGTACAGATTAAACAAGTTTATATAATACTAGCAAATATTTGGATAGATTTCTTATTTCTTTTGAATTTCTGCAAATAAATATTTTCTTCAGTGTTGACAAACTGGGGAAGTACGTATGTCTAGTTGGTAAATATTTCAATCTAATATCTGTAAGGGCTTCACATTAAAAAAAATATTCATCACCTATTGCTGGCAAAGTTTACATGTTTTATTTTTCTTGCAATACCATGCCAACGACCAGTTTCTACCGGGAGATTGTGATTACATGTTCTGTATTTCAAAATAGGAGAGTAAATATAAGCTGGGAAGAGAAGATCGTTTTCAAGTATGCGAGTGTCTCTAATATTTTTTAGTAAACGACCTTCGAGCTATTTGCAATATCAGCTTTCCAACCTTGTTAATATTGGTAACGCAACTTCACATAGTGGCGTCTTGAATGGCTAGTCCCATACCCAGCTGTATGCGGTAGATGCTAACTTTGACTGACCAGCTTAAATGGCTGCTATGATTTAACTGACATCACCTGTCTCCTGTGTCATATTTCAGCATCAGTGTTTTTAAGCTTTTATATGGGATATGTGAACATTCGTCACTGTTTTACATAATGAATCCTATCCGTTCCTGTAGTGTGAAAAAAAAATGTCCAAACTTTTGACGATGTCACGTTGAAACTGCTTAGGCTACATAAAACATTTGTTTTATTTCTCATTACTTTTTATAAAACAAAATTGGGCAGGTAGGGCGGATTTTATTTTCATTTTTTAATATTTTCTTCTGATTTTCTATACAATGCTAGTCGAAAACATGGAGTGCAGGAAGCTGAGACTGATTTCGGAAGTCTGCCAGCTATATACACGCAAATTTACCAGTTAAAAAAAACAAAAAAATAAATTAGGGTCGGGCCAAATTTTACAAATTTTACAACCAGGTACGTTTGTTTGTTGTCCAGCCGTATGGCGGCGGTCTGGAAATAATCGAATCTGGACCAGGTAATCTAGTGATCAGCAGCATGAGCATCGACTGGGATATGATGACAAGTGTCAGCCAAGTCAGCGAGGCTGACAACCCGATCCCATTAGTCGCCTCATACGACAAGCATGTCTTGCTGAAGACCAATTCTAACCCGGATCTTCACGGGTCCCCAAGTATATGTGAAAAAGGCGATATTGGTATGGTTTTACTAACCTGAGTGTCAGAGAATCTTCGGTGACTCTAAGGAGCACACCATTCAGTGTACAGGTGAGTTTTGTGTTGTGATGCTCCGACAGGGCCGAGAAAACTGGCATCACTCTTGAATCACAGCCTTCAACAAAATACATTCAAATGGAATCATTTCTATGATTGATTTCTAAATGTCTCTCAGATAAGCTTTAGTATAAACTGTGAGTTCCTCTCTTTGGATATTTGTGTCTCGTACATTTGCCTATGTTTCTCAGGTAAACTGTCAGTATAAACTGTGAGTTCGCCTCTTAAGATATTCGCATTTCGTACATTTGTCCATATCTGTAAGATCAAGGTCTCAATATAAATTGAACCTCATAATTTGCTCTGTCTTGACCATTCTGCGAAATTGTCTGTAGTTTGTTACACCACTATTTCAGTTCATGCGTGTCATGAAAACAGATGTTCCACAGGTGTTTAACTGAAGATGTACATGTCTATATTTGTTTTACTCAACGCATAACTTGTATGGAGTAAAAGATGGAACAAGTAGCCTTATTATCATATTATGAGGAAAACTAGTTGTATTTATTCACGGAACAGAACAGAATGTTTGCAAGTACATATTTAAATCACACATTACACGTTTCACTGTTGTGTGTTACCTATTGTTAGCTACATTACCTCTAAAACTGACTTCGTCCAACCACTCCGTGACTCCATCTCTCAGAAGTAGCTCCCTCAAGGCTTCTGGGTCTTTAGCATATACCATAGCACCCCTGGAGAATCTTTCCTGTAATATCAACAACCGGCCTGTCTCAGTACAGCAGTTATCCAATAACAGATTTAGTTTTCCATGAAATTACATGTATGGCGTTGAAATGAGTGGAGTTGAAACTGCCAGAAGGTTTTCCTAATCAGCAAGAGGCACTCGATCCAATTCTAACATGGAATCGGCAAAGAAGTAGGTAAACCTCCATTGGTCACCCTGTCAAGTGCGAGGGTGTGGTTTTGGTTTGATAAGAAGATGGTGTGAGGGTGTGGTGGCTTGAAAATTATGGAACGATATAATTTTGTGTGTGAGGTGAGGTGAGATGAAATTGGGTTTAACGTCGTACTTGAGAATATTTCGCTCATATGACGACGTGCATGCGTGTGTATGTGTATGTGCGGCTGCTTGTACTAGCCCAGATTTAAGCTGGTTTTATAGTGCTAGCCCACTGAGATACCATGCCGCAGTGAATCATGAATACCCCACTCAGACACATTATACTGACTCCGAGCCGACCAGTCCTTGTTGTACCCATTAATGCCGAGCGCCAGGCAGGGACCAACAAGTACCATATTTTAACGTCTTTTGTTATGACGCGTTCGGGGATCGAAACCGCGACCTTCCGCTCTCCAGGCGGATGCTCTAACCACTACACCACGGAGTTGTGTGACATAAAAACAGTTGCGAATTTTGTAAAATGGCACTGACTTGCTCTTTAACTGTCTGGGATGGGCGTCAACTGTGGGACGATAAACGTACATGCACCAAGCGTTTATCTGATTAAGATGGGCGTGTTAAGAAAAATATGCATTGAAAAGTCTTTAACTGACCAGGATGGGCGTCATCTATGTTAAGATAAAAGTACATGCAACAAGTCTTTATCTGATTAAGATGGGTGTGTTAAGAAAAATATCATCATTCACAAAGTCTTTAACTAACCAAGTTGGGAGTCAACTGTGTCAGATGAACATGCATTAACAAAACCTTTCGCTTAAATCACGCCTCTTACAATCAAACAATAAATTAACTGGCGAGCCCGTGTGCGAAATACACATCATGTCGGAAAGCGCAAAACCTCCAAATCATCATCATCAGCTACACCACATTTGTTTACCAAGGGAAATACAGGAATGTCTAAAGCTATACAAACGTTAATTACGCGACATTGTCGGGTAAGACAAAAATTGATTTCCGTTGTCCTTATGTCCATTTAATCATTTACAGGAAACGTTCAATCATACCCGTATATGTATAGGGCGGCGGATAACTAAAGCTTTATAGTGAGGCCAGGCGTCGACAACAAAGTCAAAGTCCGTCATTATGCACTGTAATTTCGATCGAATTTCACCGGCCACCTGAAACATAACAGTACACAGATAAGTAATCGTGTTGACCCAGTGTTCCAAGGTCATAGTGTATTGGGAATAGGTAGCTGTATTCTCAAAGAAAGAAGGAGAGAACTCCACATAAAATAATGTAACACAAAACATGCATAGTGTGTGTTGTAGGTCAGTGGTATTAGTGTATGATATAGATATAACCTCACCATTGTAGCCCTCTCATCATGGTTGATATCCTGTAACAACCGTTCAAGTCTGGTGTCGTCTAGTATGTCTAACGCGGCCATCTTTGTGTAATCCAAGTGTCACACAGAACGTGTCGAAAGTGTGTCGATCTGATCCGAATGAACACGAAGGGAGCCGACATTGCTGGTAAGGATCCTTTATGACAAGTCATTAAAAAGCCGGGGAGTAGCTGATCATTTTGTGATGCTTAATAGTAAATGTTATATAAATAAACTGGCAAATAGTTGATACTTTTTGTGATACTTAATAGTAAATGCTGCATAATGTGTTGGGGAGTAGTTGATAATTGTTGATGCTTAATAGTAAATGCTGCATAAATGTGTTGGGGAGTAGTTGATAATTGTGTGATGCTTAATAGTGAATACTGCATAAATGTGTTGGGGAGTAGTTGATAATTGTGTGATACTTAATAGTGAATGCTGCATAAATGTGTTGGGGAGTAGTTGATAATTGTGTGATACGTAATAGTGAATACTGCATAAATGTGTTGGGGAGTAGTTGATAATTGTGTGATACTTAATAGTGAATGCTGCATAAATGTGTTGGGGAGAAGTTGATAATTGCGTGATACTTAATAGTGAATACTGCATAAATGTGTTGGGGAGTAGTTGATAATTGTGTGATACTTAATAGTGAATGCTGCATAAATGTGTTGGGGAGTAGTTGATAATTGTGTGATACTTAATAGTGAATGCTGCATAAATGTGTTGGGGAGTAGTTGATAATTGTGTGATGCTTAATAGTGAATGCTGCATAAATGTGTTGGGGAGTAGTTGATAATTGTGTGATACTTAATAGTGAATGCTGCATAAATGTGTTGGGGAGAAGTTGATAAATGTGTGATGCTTAATAGTGAATACTGCATAAATGTGTTGGGGAGTAGTTGATAATTGTGTGATACTTAATAGTGAATGCTGCATAAATGTGTTGGGGAGTAGTTGATAATTGTGTGATACTTAATAGTAAATGCTGCATAAATGTGTTGTGGAGTAGTTGATAATTGAGTGATGCTTAATAGTAAATGCTGCATAAATGTGTTGGGGAGTAGTTGATAATTGTGTGATACTTAATAGTGAATGCTGCATAAATGTGTTGGGGAGTAGTTGATAATTGTGTGATACTTAATAGTGAATGCTGCATAAATGTGTTGGGGAGAAGTTGATAATTGTGTGATGCTTAATAGTGAATGCTGCATAAATGTGTTGGGGAGTAGTTGATAATTGTGTGATACTTAATAGTGAATACTGCATAAATGTGTTGGGGAGAAGTTGATAATTGTGTGATACTTGATAGTGAATGCTGCATAAATGTGTTGGGGAGTAGTTGATAATTGTGTGATACTTAATAGTGAATACTGCATAAATGTGTTGGGGAGTAGTTGATAATTGTGTGATACTTAATAGTGAATGCTGCATAAATGTGTTGGGGAGAAGTTGATAAATGAGTGATGCTTAATAGTGAATACTGCATAAATGTGTTGGGGAGTAGTTGATAATTGTGTGATACTTAATAGTGAATGCTGCATAAATGTGTTGGGGAGTAGTTGATAATTGTGTGATACTTAATAGTGAATGCTGCATAAATGTGTTGGGGAGTAGTTGATAATTGTGTGATGCTTAATAGTGAATGCTGCATAAATGTGTTGGGGAGTAGTTGATAATTGTGTGATACTTAATAGTGAATACTGCATAAATGTGTTGGGGAGTAGTTGATAATTGTGTGATACTTAATAGTGAATGCTGCATAAATGTGTTGGGGAGTAGTTGATAATTGTGTGATACTTAATAGTGAATGCTGCATAAATGTGTTGGGGAGAAGTTGATAAATGTGTGATGCTTAATAGTAAATGCTGCATAAATGTGTTGGGGAGTAGTTGATAATTGTGTGATACTTAATAGTGAATACTGCATAAATGTGTTGGGGAGTAGTTGATAATTGTGTGATACTTAATAGTAAATGCTGCATAAATGTGTTGGGGAGTAGTTGATAATTGTGTGATACTTAATAGTGAATGCTGCATAAATGGGATGGGGAGTAGTTGATAATTTTGTGATGCTTAATAGTGAATACTGCATAAATGTGTTGTGGAGAAGTTGATAATTGTGTGATACTTAATAGTGAATACTGCATAAATGAACTAGGAAGTAGGTGTTAATTATGTGATGCTTAATAGTAAATGCTGCATAAATGTGATGGGGAGTAGGTGTTAATTGTGTGATGCTTAATAGTAAATACTGCATAAATGGGATGGGGAGTAGGTGTTAATTGTGTGATGCTTAATAGTAAATACTGCATAAATGTGATGGGGAGTAGGTGTTAATTGTGTGATGCTTAATGGTAAATACTGCATAAATGTGTTGGGGAGTAGGTGTTAATTGTGTGATGTAAATAGTAAAACTGCATAAATGTGTTGGGGAGTAGGTGTTAATTTTGTGATGCTTAATAGTAAATGCTGCATAAATGTGATGGGGAGTAGGTGTTAATTGTGTGATGCTTAATAGTGAATACTGCATGAATGTGATGGGGAGTAGGTGTTAATTGTGTGATGCTTAATAGTAAAAACTGCATAAATGGGATGGGGAGTAGGTGTTAATTGTGTGATGCTTAATAGTAAATGCTGCATAAATGTGATGGGGAGTAGGTGTTAATTGTGTGATGCTTAATAGTAAATACTGCATAAATGTGATGGGGAGTAGGTGTTAATTGTGTGATGCTTAATAGTAAATACTGCATAAATGTGATGGGGAGTAGGTGTTAATTGTGTGATGCTTAATAGTAAATACTGCATATATGTAATGGGGAGTAGGTGTTAATTGTGTGATGCTTAATAGTGAATACTGCATGAATGTGATGGGGAGTAGGTGTTAATTGTGTGATGCTTAATAGTAAAAACTGCATAAATGGGATGGGGAGTAGGTGATAATTGTGTGATGCTTAATAGTAAATGCTGCATAAATGTGTTGGGGAGTAGGTGATAATTGTGTGATGCTTAATAGTAAATACTGCATAAATGTGTTGGGGAGTAGGTGATAATTGTGTGATGCTTAATAGTAAATGCTGCATAAATGTGTTGGGGAGTAGGTGTTAATTGTGTGATGCTTAATAGTAAATACTGCATATATGTAATGGGGAGTAGGTGTTAATTGTGTGATGCTTAATAGTAAAAACTGCATAAATGGGATGGGCAGTAGGTGTTAATTGTGTGATGCTTAATAGTAAATGCTGCATAAATGTGATGGGGAGTAGGTGTTAATTGTGTGATGCTTAATAGTAAATACTGCATAAATGTGTTGGGGAGTAGGTGTTAATTGTGTGATGCTTAATAGTGAATGCTGCATAAATGTGTTGGGGAGTAGCTGATAATTGTGTGATGCTTAATAGTAAATGCTGCATAAATGTGATGGGGAGTAGCTGATAATTGTGTGATGCTTAATAGTGAATGCTGCATAAATGGGTTGCTGAGAATCACTTCTCATCCAGATTTTCACGGTATGTTCTTTTTAAAATTTAATTTTTTAAAAACATATTTCTATGGCTACATACATAAACCTTCGTGTCAAGAATAATAACGAACATGTCTTCATTATCTCTGGTCACGAAGAATCAAATACAGGCATGTGGGTTCTATTCGTAGTTATTGGGTAGAGGAAGAGGTCAGTGGGGCAGTAGGACAGCCTAGAGACAAAACAACCCGTCCAATGCAGTACAAACAGTACTTGGATGATAATACGTGTGAACAAAATGCAGAAACATTATAATGTCTGGACGCTGATAAAAAACCCGTTTGCAACCAAGTGCTTCCCCAAACACCCCTCATAGTCCATTTACGAATCAACTGTAGCCATATGACACGTTCACCTCTAATTATTGTAGCGAAATATACGCGTTGGATACTTAAGCAAAGACACATTGTTTAAAAACAAATAGAGACTCAAAAGGGTCCACAATGCATGTTGTATAGTCTTGGATATTTAAGAGTATCGAGGGATGTGATTGCTCTGTTTTTAAATGTAATGCAAACACATTTTAAATATTATTGACAGTAGACTGAGGACATTTTTTATGGATATACAACTTCTATATTGTGTATAGTCGACGTTTCGACATAGATTCTAATGTCGTTGTCAACCAAGTGCTCATACAAAATAAAGAAGTTGTATATCCATAAACAATTGTCCTCATACTTCATTTCCTCAACTTCTAGAATACCAATCAAAGAAATTATTGACAGTAATTTATTCATTTACGGTTTTACTGTTTATCATTGCATCTGTAGGTGATTATAGAATATCGTGTTCTTGTTTACACTGCTCAGTGACATCTAATCACGATGAACATTGGGGCTTATTATGTAATGATACCCATCCTCGGGAAGGCAGGGTTTGATGGGTGAGTTTAGTTTTACGCCGCTTTTAGCAATAGTCCAGTAATATCACAGCTGGGGACACCAGAAATGGGCTTCATTGTACCCATGTGGGGAATCGAACCCGGGTCTTCAGCGTGACGACCGAACGCTTTAAGCACTAGGCTTCCCCTTCGCCCCTCTAGTTTATGATCTCAAGTCAAGGGAATTGAAGAATGACTTTGACTCCAAGAATTATTAAGCACACGCCAAGTTTGAAAGTCAATCATTTCACTTTGGGCTAGATGTCAGATAGTAACAACTAGTGTGTGATTTCTTGTTTTTTTCTTTTTCATTCGGTATGAATCATCATTTGATCCACGAGGATTGAGAAGTGCCCGAAGAAAGCCATTGTGATAGACAACACCAGGATTGGTCACTCCCTGGAAAAATCTCGTTTTGTACCATCCTGTTGAATGCACTCGAATAATGAGTTGCCAAAGTTACGACAAAATTTTCCAATGTACTACCATTGACGTTTTGGCTGAGTGGTTGCAGTATCATACTTGTCAGGGTACTTTAATAAACTGTAGTGCCACACGCAAGTCACACGATGCCTTTTAGAAGTGGTCAAATGCAACATATGATGCATTTGGGATTAAACAAATACAGATTTTAGTACTTTTGTGTTGTTGAGTCCCATCCGGGATTCGAATCCACACTCTCATGGCACCTAGGCACCAAAGTCAGCGATCTAACCCACCTAGCCATCGCAGCTTACACGAAATGGAAGTCGGACAACTGGTAGTCTTAGCACTAAACCACGCGTGTACCCCTCTGACAAGTATAAATTAGCACGGCTCCCATTCCCGAAGCTATGAATACACAATGCCTTTGAGAAAGTGGTCAAATACAACATATGCTTATTTGAGATTACACTTTCTCATTAAGATTTTTTGTTGTTTGTTGTTCAACGCCGGAATCAGCAATGTTCAGTGACAATCCAGTGATCAACAACATGAGCATCGATATATGCAAATGGGATACGACAACATGTGTCAAACACGTCAGCGAGCCTGACCACCCGATCCCGTTAGTCGCCTCTTACGACACGCATTGGTTGCTGAAGATCAATTCTAATCCGGATCTCCAGGGGTCTCATCTGAGTAAAGTGTTTTTATTTACAAAACATCCATACATGACACTTACAATAGATGTAGCTATGCAACGATACGTTACAATTCCTTATTGCCAGAAACCCACATAATGTTTATTCATAAGAATTCAATACGTGTCCGTCAATATTGTTTGACAGCAAGCGTGCGTGAGGCATGAATTCTTCTGATCTCGAGAGTCCAGGCATGTCTCACAGTAACATCACTATCAGTAAGTGACCCTTTACATTTCCTTTTGTTGATATTTTTGAAAAGAAGAAAACTAGCATATCTTAGCTATGATCCCAATCTGTCTTAAATGCACATTGATATTGTTTAAAAATCGGATTTTATACAATTCATTCACTCGTAATACGTTTCATAGTGATTCCTAACTATAGGCTCGGTCATTATGACAATCACTGGATTGTGTGGTCCAGACTCGATTGTTTATAAACAACATTGTGCAGCAGTAATACTCCTGAAACAAATACATGCTCATGATGACATCAGAATTGTACAAAAAGAGATTTGACAACAAAAATGCAATCATATTTAGTGGCAAACTCAGAATGGTAGTTTATAGACTCAAGTGGTTTAGTGTTTAAAAGAAGATCTAATCACACCTACATGGTTATACAAATACTGGCGTGAAATCAATAATGGCTTGATGATAAATGTTAGTTTAATCTTGCTAGGAGTGAGTGAGTGAGTGAGTGAGTGAGTGAGTGAGTGAGTGAGTGAGTGAGTGAGTGAGTGAGTGAGTGAGTGAGTGAGTGAGTGAGTGAGTGAGTGAGTGAGTGTCCCAGGGGGGACCCAGAAATGGCCTTCACACATTGTACCCGTGAGGGGAATCGAACCCAGGTCTCCGGCTTGACGAGCGAACGCTTTAACCACCAGGCTACCCCACTGCCCCTTACTATACAGGCAGTACAGATTGATGCTTGTTGTTCTTCGGCGGCAATATAAAGTGGTAAAGGTGAAACGACTTCCTGAGAATAATGAAAGTGTGTGCAACACTCCACGTCCTATTCAAGTGACTAAACTTCCTCCATCTCTCTCTCGTCCTGTGGGAGTGGGCTATTTTCATATGCCGAACCATTGCTGCCATCCTGGTGGAAGAAATGCTGCAGAATAGCTGCGCCCATACAGTCTCCATTCACATTAGTGATAGTCCTCATTCGCCCGCTGAAACACCAGAACATAGCTGCTGTTATGGTCCTCAAGAATGAAACATGTTAGGCCATAAACAGGTCATTCGTTTATAGATTGAGTTATGCAGGTGGAACATGAAGGGAACACATAAACGGGCGGTGTTTAGTTAACAGTGTTCGTCATTGTCTTGTAGCTAATCTACTTGATGTTTGCATTACACAAATAGCACCTGATCTATATTCCATATTTGTATATTTGGCAAGGAGGAGTCGTTACGTGAGCATACACATACAGAAATGTACAAGGTATCGACGTTCAAAGATTATATTACGTGAAAGCATATGCAGTTTTGTAAAACATTTCAAGTATAATCGTCGAATATTCTTTAAAATATGTGCCAGAAATTTTTTGCATGTATTTAATCAAAATCAAACAGTATCACTATAAGTGTGTCATTTCTCGCTGAAAATACTCACAGAAACCAATCCATGGCAAAAATGATGTAGATTTCGTTTGTTGGTAGTCCCATATTGGCTAGAAAAACCATGATGGTTACTATGGCAGCATTAGGTATACCAGCGGTCCCAATGCTAGTGAGGGTGCCAGCCACGCTGAAATGATATCATAAGTAGTTTTCTCAACAATTTGCATTCCACATCCGATTTCGGTTGTATCCCATTAGTCATACGCCCATTTCTCATACGGAAGTGTTCATGATTGCATTATTCAGATGTTGCGCATGCGCTGAAGAATGATTATTTCTAATGCCTCCTTATATTTAAATGATCACTACATATTAGTGAACATTTGTGCCAAGTTTGGTGCTTTAATCACATTTTGCACAATTGTCTTGCTAAGCAGCCTACATACGGAACGGACCGGATTAATTAAAACAACAAGGGTCATGCTCCTTACGATACAATAGACTCGTCCGCTTTTATTGTGCGAGATACAAGGTGATAGTCAAACATGATTCAATACGTCTACTCTGCATACCGATTGTTTTGAATATGTTCTTAGAAAAACGGGGTAAGAATATAATTCCATTTCCGATTCGAATTAAACTATACTATCCAAAAAAAGAAACGCATAGACCAGAAATCTGTTGCAAAATGTTGTATTTTCAAACATGTATAACTCGCCCACAAATAGACTTTAGTACATGATTTTTTTACGTCAGTTGAGAAGAAAGTACTGTGTATACAACGGATGGATAATTTTAGATAACAGAGACGTTGAGCGCGATGGTGACGACGTAGCACGGTCCCGACGTCGGGTCTCCTGGTTTTCAGTCCAATCTCTCTGAACCTGTTGCGTACAGTTTGAGCGGATATCCTCCGAAGTCCAGGCAACTTGGCTGCTGTGCTCTCACCCGTGGCAGTACGATCACGCAAATGTAGTACCCGGATGTACCGATCTTGGGCTGCAGGTTTGCCTGTTCGTGGACGGTCATTTGTTATACCTGTTTGGTTGTAACGAGCTGCAAGCCGTGATATCGTGCTCAGACTAACATTCAGACGCCTGGCAACAGAAGATTGGTAATCTCCAGCGTGCATTCTTTCAATGGCGATGTTCCGTGTCGCAGCGTCAAAGTAATCTGGATTTTTATATCCAGATAGTACATGCTCTTTGCTGCACAATTTCAACTGGAAGGTGAATTCTGTTGCATTGTGGCGATACCTTTTTAATCCTTGCAATCCTTTAATCCTTGTTTGAACACAATAGGTAATTAATATATTTTTTGAAATACAAAACACCTATGCGTTTCTTTTTTGGGATAGTATATTATGCAGATTTAAGGAAACTCTATTTTTTAAAAACTTTGTGTCTACTGATGTTGTAGATTGTTTAAGAATAACTACATATATATTGCCCCAAGATCGAAGAAGCATCACTTATTCGTCATTATGGCAGCTTTATAGAAGTTGAGTATGTGACATTAAGGCGAGGCACACAAGTTTTGTAGGTAAGGACAGATTTTGAGGCGACAGTGAGATTTTTCTAGTTTAATGTTGTTTGCATCTAAAGTTTCAATTCGAAGATATTCAATGTTTTGGAATCTTATTTAACATAATATTTTTTGTATCAAATAGATAAAATCAATAAGCATGTAAGTATGATTTGTTGTTACGGTAAGGACAGGGTAGTGTAACGGCTGTGACAAAGAAGAAAACGGCTGTGATAGGGCCGTTAGGGTAGTGACATTCTATATTGTCACAATGTCACTGCCGTAAGATGCAGTCTTCACCTGTGTTTAACATTACAGGGACATCTAAGTAAATCTTTGCCTGTTACATATTCTTCAAACATTCTGAAATATCTGACTAACAAATTTCATTAAATCAGCTTTTAAAGTAAACATATAATACTGGCTATTATTAAAAATGTCACTGCCGTTATTGTGTCACCGTAACAATTAATGCCACAGTCCATGCCCTAACATTATCATTTTCCTTACTTAATCAAAATTGATTTATCTGTTTATGTTTGGAATTAGTAGTGCATGTATGTTTGGTAGTAGTGCTTCAAGTAAGCATAATATAATTCATATTCTCATTTTGAATTTCTTGCGACATATTACTTTATGTAATTATGCTTATGCAAATTAGAATGAATTTGTGGGCTTGTCTGTCCCATTTAAGCAATGAATATGATATTCAAAAACCGATTAGCCATGTTATAATGTAAAACTATACATTCCAATATAATAATATGTACATTAAATGATAAGAGTTTTGGATTTTTCTCTTTTCAAAATGCCGTTACAAATTTCGTAACGGTAGTGGCGCAATTTCCTGAAATTTCTAATAAAAAGTGTTAAATATGATAAATGAAATGTCGTTAAGCTTGCATTATTTATGTTTTGTATACTTAATATTCAGAATACTACAAACGTAAAACATTTCAATGTAAAACAAGCACAGAAAACTTGAAATATGCACGAACTACGAGAATGACTCAAATAAACTGTTCCTATAAATTCGTTTTGTTTCGTTTCATATGGGTCATTCCATTTACCTACAGAGGTACTAAGGGTTCATATGTAAGAAGAATCAACCATGACATGTGTTTATTTAAGTCGTCTGACTAATGGGACGAATGACTTATGGGGGTGACACCCTGATTTCAATACTGTTATGCGTTGCATGATGACAGATGATCTTCAACCGTCCGCCAAGATGTTACTTTGGGGTACAATAGATAGCGATGTTTCTCATTGTATCGATCCTACTTCCAGTTTCTTCATTCAAATTGTATGAAAGCCTAATGCTGCCACTTTTGTAGCATAAAAAAATTTCGGCGAAAGTTCTCGTTGCTTCAATTATTTATTCGCTGCTTCATATATTTTCTCGTTGCTTAAATTATTTTCTCGTTGCTTAGATTATTTTCTCTTTGCTTAGATTATTTCCTGGTTGCTTCGAGTATTTTCTCGTAATTTCAAGTTTCTGTCACAAACTTGATATTTCAAGTATTTTCTCGTTCCTTCGAGTATTTTGAAAAAAACCCCTTGAAATTCTTGAAAATAGTTGAAGGAACGAGAAAATATTCGGAGCAACGACAATTAATTGAAATAAGGAAAAATACTCGACCGGGAAGCAACGAGAAATGTCGCTGAAAAATATGTTTTGATACAAAATAGGCAGCATTGGGCTTTCGTAAAATTGGGTCAGTTGTTCTACGGTCATCTTTAATTATAACATTAACCAGTACCCACTTCCTTCCAGTTCTTCTTCGGGATGTGACGTCGCCATCTCTGTCCCTTCCCAAATCTCTCTCGCAAATAGACTGGTGAAGATCCTGGTTAGAATTGGTCTTCAGTAATCCATGCTTGTCGTAAGAGGCGACTAACGGGATCGGGTGGTCTGGCTCGCTGACTTGGTTGACACATGTCATCGTATCCCATTTGCGTAGATCGATGCTGTTAGTCACTCGATTGTCTGGTCCAGACTAGATTATTTACAGGCCGCCGCCATACAGTTTTCACATTGCTGGATGTGGCGTTAATCAACCACCAAACCAAACTATGGTAGCGAACAGATTAGGGATATTTATCACATTAGTACGAAGATCGACAGTTCCTGCTTAATCGAAGAGTGAGTGAGTGAGTTTGGTTTCACGCCCCTTTGAACATTGTTCCAGTAGCATCAGGTCGACAACAGGACTACATGTAAGATACGATGTAGTATTTCTATAAGATTTCAAAGACTGTCATTCAACTATTGCTTAAATGTGATTTGTATAATGAATATAACTCTTTCTTATAAAAAAGGCAATGATATAGCAGCACACTACTAAAAATCACACTGTATCAATACTTGTGATGTCGTCGAAATCATGCAATTGAATGTTCTCATTAATTTTGATAAGGTTTTTGTAACTATCATTTGCCCTGAACCTGTGAAGATCAGGGTTAGAACTGGTCTTCAGCAACCCATGCTGGTCGTAAGAGGTTCTCTGATTTGGTTGGCACATTTTACACCAATTGTTTAGATCGATGCTCGTGATGATGATCACAAGATTGTCTGGTCCAAACCCGATTATTTACAGACCGCCGCCATACAGCTTGAATATTTCTGAATGTGACATTTGCAGTGTGTATGTAAAAACTCATTTACCCAAGAGCCATGACGTCAAGTACAGATAGGTGCACTCCGCTGATCTGTGCTATGTAAACCGGGGTGACGACTAGGACGATGGCAGCTCCATCCATGTTGACAGTAGCACCGATAGGTAGCACAAACCGGCTGATAGTCCTGTCTATCTTAAGATTCTTCTCACAGCAGTCGATGGTAACCGGAAGTGTTGCAGCACTGACAAAAATAAAAAGGATCTTTAACATTCTCTGCAAACTGTTTGAAGTTTCAGCATAAAATGTAAATTGCTTTACATTTTGGTTTTAATAAAGATATTTACAAACTCACCAACATATATTTAGGGATTGACGATGATGATTTGGAGATTTTACGAGTGCTTTCCGACATAATACATATTTTGCACACGGACGAGTGAGTGAGTGAGTATATCAGTGCCATTGTATCCATGTGGGGTATCGAACCAAGGTCTTGACGACCGGGTGACGACTGAACGCCTTAACCATTAGGCTAACCACCGCTAACCAATAAATTACGGAATGACCAAACCAAGATCAGAAAAATGCCATTAAATATCTACAATGGCTTTTCTCGGACCAATATAATGTCAGTATTTCAACTTTTCATAGAACGTCATTACATGTCTCATTTTTAAGTGATTGATTGCTATGCCAGACCTGGAATTGGTGCCCAGAGCTGTCAGAAGAGCCTGCACTATTCCCAGCGTCACCATGAAGGGGTTCTTCCGTGTCAGAATGAGGTATATCAATGGTATTACGACAATAGTTTGCACAAAAAGACCGGCCATGCAGGTGGCCAAGAACATCCCTATGTGATGAACCATCCCAGCGAGATCGGACACACTCAAGATCTTTCCAGCGATGAGGGACAGTACGCCAATAGGCGTGATCCTGTAACAAAATATGCTGTTAGCAAGTTGATTAAGTGGGTGAGTGGTTGAGGGCGTGCGGGAGCGAATTCCCTGCAATATCACGGCGGGGGGACACCAGAAATGGGTTTCCCATGTGGAGAATCTTACCCTAGCTTTTTCGAACGCTTTAACCACCAAGCTACCGCCCCTTAAATTGTATGAAATAGTGTAAACATTTGCACAATTTTAGATTTTAAATAAGTAAAGAGTTCATGCTCAGTGATGTTTTATAATCTTGAATCATTTAGCTCTCAGGCATATCTGTCAGGGTAAATGTATATTTACAACGATTAAATTATCACGCAATGGTTACAAGTCAAACTGCACAAATATACGTAAGTCGCTTGCGTCAGTTTAAGACACTGGTGCGTGGATTATATATTATACTGGGTAGGTAGGCCACTGAGCATTATTGCTGCTATTGCGTGAGTAGACGAGTAATTTCAAACAGCACAATCACTGCGGCGGACACAACAGGTCTTCACAATTTATACCATGTGGGACAATTTATAGCAATGTGGGGTTCAAACCCGGGCAACAGAAATGTGCAGTAAATATACTTCTTTCAAACATGTAAGTTTCCTGCATGTAGCTGAAATAGTACGTGGTGTTCGTGTGTATCATTTATCAACATTTAAAGTGTTTCGCCGGAATCTATAATTTAACAGGACATTGTCGCATGAAACCATATCTAGCTACTTTGACGGTCAATGACAATACACGGAACATGCATGAGATGCTGATTATAATTAAAAACCAAATCTTAATTTGTTTTAAACAAACTTCATTCATCTATGTACGAGTTTGTTTGTTGTTTAACGTCGCACTCAGCAATATTACAACTGTGTGGTCTGTAAATAATCGAATCCGGACCAGACAATCCAGTGATCAACAGCTTCAGCATTGATCTACCAAATAGGGATACGATTACATGTTCTTATGTCAACCAGGTCAGCGAGTCTGATCACCATATCCCGTTAGTCGCCTCTTATGACGAGCATGGGCTACTGAAGATCAATTCTAACCCGGATCCTCGCGGGTCTCATCTATGTATGACACTGCAGGGGATGTCCTGGATTACATACCACATAACGAGGTGTACAATGCCCATCGTGATCTCATTCAGTTCCTCGAAGAATTTGAAGACGACCCGACCTTTATCTCCTAGTTTACCAAGCACTGCCCCAAATACTGCACAATACACCAACATCCCTGTGGAACAGAACAACACAATTCCATTACAGATTTGCAGATGCTAGATTCTCATGCTATAGTTGGAACGGTGCGATTGACCCTGCATTTAAAAGATATGTTTTATGAGTATGGAAAAGGTAAGGTCGCGTTTTTATAATGTAGTAGATTTTGACTGAAAAACGTTAAAAGTAATTGGTACTTTACACACAGTCATTATGTCTTTTTTCCAGTGTACTCTCATGTGATGTTCTACTGGTAACAAAATGGCCTGGTTAGCGAGAAAGCGATGACGCGTCAGAAAAACTAATAATCAACACGTTGATATATTGAATCCTATGTTGGTCATGTTGCTAAGTTGGATTCGACGGTCTTCAAAAATCTGTTCTATATCTAGACACTGTTTAAAATTTAAAGTCAAGGTTTGGAATCCATTTCATCAACATATATATTTTATAAACAAACCTTACTAGAAAAACAGTTACAGTTGATAAACATATAGACCCCCCACCCAAAAAAAAAGAAGAAAGAAAACAAAACAAGAAAAACAAAATAACAACAACAAAAAACATATAATATAAAAAAAATAAGATTATAAATACATACACATACATACATACATACATACATACATACATACATACATACATACATACATACATACATACATACATACATACATACATACATACATACATAAATTAAATAAACGAAAATTTATAGAAAACTAAAACCCAAAGACAACCAAAGACAACACCCAACAAAAAAATCCACGTCAACAGTACCAAATAAAAAGGGTGAATAAAAGGTAAAATCATGATCATCGAAAGTCAATGAATTCATGTATTCGCAAAATATTAAACGGTAATACAGCGCAAATATTTAGACATGACAGAAAAGGTTGTCTCCAGTTGTTTTTTTCTAAGCTTCACATTTTTTCTGAGCAACGTATGAAGAGCACAGTCTATGTTACCAATTATCCAAGCCTTCACATGCCTAAAACATTAAATCCGGGTCTGGTGACAGTTTTAGGTGTCCAGATGGGGTTTCTTTCCTCTGTAGTATTTCTCCCATCAGATTCTACCAGAAACGTTGAGTTGGTTACATTCTGGAGCACATATTCATCAGGAGATTCCTTCTTGACGAACTCTTCCTTGACGTATACTGTGTGTGAACTTTGAATTGCAGCACTAACAATATTGTCTGGAAACAGATTTCTGAAAAAGGAAATCATCACAGGGAATTACGACATCTACATCACAGACTTCAGAATACCAGTTACATGTGTTACACAACAGAGTCCATAACATTACCAACTGCAACCTACAACCAAATCACACATTGTGGAAACCGTATTTCATAAAAGGGCTTTTGCAGCAAAGGTTTGGACTTTGTAATTAGAGACTTTACACTTATTTATAGTGACACCTCCAAGGATTCTTCTATGATCCATATTTCTGGCGCTTTCTGGATCCCCGATTATATCATCTTGATGTGTTCAGGCGTAAATATTACATGCCAGTTTTTGCAACAGAAGTTACTTAATTCTACAAGCACTGAGATGGCACCAGGTCTCGCATTGCAGGCAGTCATTGAATATTCCGACATGTAATGAAGTTCTGTGAATAGATGAAATATTGACGTTATGTTGTCATTTTACTTTTAATGTTCACCTTTTCACAGAGTATTTGGTTGTGATGCAGTCTTACTCGTACAGTGGTTTGTTACAGTCTATTATTAAAACGTTTTGTATGTTTATATTTAATACCCAGAACATTCCAGCCATACAATGGTCTGTACTTGGGAGTCTTGAATAGGTTCCACTACACTTAATCAGAACCACATGTTCCCTGGGCGAGCACCGTATGTAAACAACTGAAGAGAGACTTGTGAGAGCTGTGATTGGATGAAATAATGTAAGATGTTTATGCTTTTAAAAAGTACCTCCATCAAGTAATTACAAATGACCACAATTTTGAGTATTAAGCGCTGTTATTTTTATCACCATGACTTATACTTATTGTGTGTACATATATTTTCCAGTAGGTGACATTTGGCGCCGAACTGGAGTTGATGTGTTCCACTTCCTGTGCTTCGAAAATGAGCTGGGCAATTTGGCCAGAAATTGTGTTTTATTGTAGTTTAAAGGCCTGACTCTACCCATGTATACATGGAATGGGGTGAGTGAGTGAGTGAGTTAAGATTTAAAGTCACATCGGCAATATTTCATCCATAGCGTGACTAAAACTAGTTCTAAATTTATAATACATACATATAATATATAAAACCCTGTCAACGAAGGACAGTAAAAGCACTAGATTATCACAATTAGAATTAAAACTAGCGTGGAAAGTTTAAAACTAATAGCACTATTGGGACAATACAATATAAAATCAGGCTATAGATCGCCAACATCAGAAGGTACATCACCATACTAGGGCCCATGGGGACTTACAGTACCTTTGCTACCTGCATGGACCCTAGTTGGATTTACACCATCCCTTCAGCTGCTTGTGATTGTAAGAAATGTTAGCCAAAATTAAAATAACAAAAATTCTACGTTTAAAAATCCTGGCAAGTTTAAATGGACTTTGAACATTTTGGGACTTACGTACCCTCTCAGGAGGACAATAATTTTACACTACTTCAACTCCCTTTGAGGGTACAGCCACTAACAATCTCAGTTACTAATCTAAACTACCAATAATAAAATATATATCTATTTACAAATCAGTTAGCAAGTCTAATTTTTTTAAAAAGGCAATAATTAAATGAGAACTTATATTACTAAAAAGATCCTTCATAGTATTTTTTGAAATAAATATCCCTTGTGATGGAATATTCAACACGGTCAAGCAGGACATGCTTGACCGTGATTCTTTCATCACAAGGGATACAAAACGGAGGATCCTCACCTTTTAATAGGTACTCATGAGTATATCCTGTGTGGCCAATACGACATCGTCGTATGATGACCTCCTCAATTGTGGACTGACAACCCGAGTAAGTGTAACCGATATAGGGTTTTATTTCATGTAATTTATTGATACCTACTTGGGTGTCCCACTTCTTCTGCATCGGAACACGGATGTAAGTTCTAATGCAAGCTTTGTAATCAGAGTAAGGAATAAGAAGTGGTGTCACAGATTTGTTGAGTGCTGCCTTAGCAGCAATATCAGCCATTGTGTTCACAGAAATGCCAACGTGGCTGGGTAACCAACAAAAGACGATGTCGCATTGGCCAGTAGCAAGTTCATTGCACAATTCAATAATTTCTAATAAAAGTGGATGTTTGCAAGAAATATTTTAATAGCCTGAAGACACGAAAGAGAATCTGAAAAGATGATATATTGTTTATATTTACGGTGTTTATTAATATCTGTTAAGGCTGTTAACATGGCGTTTGCTTCTGCTGTAAAAATAGAGCTGTTATCTGGTAAACGAGAAGAGATTGTTCTGGATCCAATGACAGTGGCACAAGTCCACCGCGCCATCATCCTTGGACCCATCTGTAAATAAGGATTTATATGTATTCTATTTACTTTTTAATTGATTATATTCTTGTTTATAATGTAAATCATTAGTTTCTGATTTTTTAAATGCTGTTAATGTTAGGTCAACTTGGGGCCTAACTAAAGAAGACGGGAAGGAGCTATATTTTTCCAGCTCAATGCCAGCAGCAGAAATGAATGGTTTAATTCTTAAACCAAGAGGTGGAACAAGAGAAGGTTTTTTGTTATACAAATCCTCATAAAGAGGATTAAAGACACAGTTGAATGCAGGGTTAGACTCGTTAGAATACAGTTTTGTTATATACTGCAAGGATAATTGTATACGGCTTTGTGCAAGAGATGGTTCATCTGCCTCGACGTAGAGACTGTCAACAGGAGAAGTTCTAAAGGGATCCAAGACAAAGTCATAGACCTTGGTGATGGACAGAATCTAATAGTTTAAAGTTGCTTTTGCAGGCTCCACCATATACGATGGAGCCATAATCAAGTTTCGAGCGGACCAATGATCGATATAGATGTAGGAGAGTGGCTTGATCCCCTCCCCATTTAGAATTTGAAACAACTTTCAACAAGTCAAGTGCCTTCATGCATTTAGTTTTAAGGGATTTAATATGCGGCAGAAACGTTAAATGAAAATCAAACATTAAACCCAAGAACTTGGCCTCCTTTACAACTTTGATGGGAGTGCCAGTGAGAAACAGTTCCGGGTCTTTATGTGGTTTATATTTTCTACAAAAATGTATACAATTAGTTTTGGATTTAGAAAATTTAAAGCCGTTTTCAAGGCACCATTTATTTATCTTGTTTAAACACAACTGCAGTTGCCGTTCAATGGTATGCATATTTTTACCACGACAAAAAAATATTAAAATCATCCACAAATAACGATCCATCTATGGAATCGTTTAAAACTTTTGATAAACTATTTATCTTTATACTAAATAGTGTGACAGACAAAATACTGCCTTGTGGAACACACTGATCCTGATTGTAATGATCAGACAGGGTAGATCCCACGCGGACTTGAAATTGTCTGTCCTTTAAAAAGTTGGCTATAAATTGAGGCAAACGGCCTCTCAAACCAAAGCCATGTAAATCTTTTAAAATGCCATATTTCCAGGTAGTGTCATATGCCTTTTCAAGATCAAAAAAGATAGACACAGCGTGTTGTTTATTAATAAGAGCGTTTTTAACAAATGATTCCAAACGCACTAAGTGAACGACAGTACTCCTGTTTTTACGGAAACCACATTGTATATCTGTTATAAGGTTATTTCTTTCCAAGTACCAAACAAGTCGATTATTTATCATTCGTTCCATGGTTTTGCAAACACAGCTAGTTAGTGAAATAGGTCTATAATTTGACGGATGCGTATGATCATGTCCTGGTTTAGGTATAGGTACTACTATAGCGTCACGCCATGAGGGAGGAAAGTTACCTGATGTCCAAATATCATCCAAAATATTTAAAAGAGTTTCTAGACAGGATTCTGGTAAATGCTTCAAGAGTTGATAATGTATGTTATCAGCCCTTGTAGCAGTATCGTGAGCTTGTTCAAGAGCAGTATGGAGCTCATGAATAGAAAATAGTTCATTATAGTCTTCCCCGTTATCTGAATTGAAATCAATGGGTTTCTTTTCTTGATGTTTTTGATATTGTTGGAATTTAGGTACATAATTAGAAGAGGAAGAATGTTTAGCAAGAGTTTCCCCCAGTTTGTTCGCAATATCTGATTGTTCTCCATGTTTAAGATGATGGACGCTAGATTTAGTACCTTTACCTTTAATTTTCTGTATCATGGGCGTTCGAGAATTTATTTTGGATACATAAGTTTGCCACGATTGGCGTTTATTCTGTTTAAAGGTACGCCGCGCTTTAGCATTTAAAATTTTAAATTTATTTATATTATGCACCATAGGGTGGCGACGGAAATAATGTTCTGCTTTTTTCCTTTCCTTCCTAGCTTGTTTGCATTCATCGTTGAACCAAGGTTTTCGAATATGTGGAATTGCAGAGGACTTTGGTATGCACTCATCAGCTATGATGTTCAGTTCATCAGAAAAGCATTTGATAGCATCAGGAACATCAACAAAAAATTCAGGTTTAAATTTCGTAACACACAGCAGTTCATAAAGAGGCCAGTTAGCCTTTCTAAAATTCCATCTTGATGATGGAGGAACATCAGATGGGGTTACAGGTTTTAGAAAAGTAGGAAAATGGTCACTTCCACAGAGATCATCGTGAACTGACCATTCAAATTCATTCAGTAAGTTGGAGTCAGTTATCAAGAGCTGAATATGTTCCTGTGCCAGGATGTAAATATGTATTTGTACCATCATTATATATACATAAATTATTATTCGAAATAAAATCCTCCAAAACTTGACCTTTTGCGTTTGTGGCCACACCACCCCAGAGAGGGTTGTGCCCTTTGCTCGTGTTCAGAGTTGTGTGTGGAGAAACTGATACCGGAACTCCAACAAACAACTCGGTTGACAACAGGTTGGCCGATTGCTGTTTCCTGTAACATTCTATAAGAAGGGAGCCTGAACGCAATCTTTTGATATTCTTTACCTCACCTGCGATACCATGTATACCTTTTGATACTGCAAAAGGGTTTAATTTTATAGCTGATTTGTCAAGTGTCTCGATCACGAGAAATCGTGGCCAATATTCGATTGACGTGGACGGTCGTGGTTCATCATCATCATCATTCTCAAGCTGACGTTTGTTTCTTTTAAGGGGGGTTGTGTAAGCCATAGTAAGTTTAGTATGGTTCATCATCTGAACTCCCCACCCACCACGGAGTATCACAAGACAATGCTAAAAGCAAGTGGGCCTCAGACTTGCAGCAGCAAGGAAACTCAGATGATATACTCCAGCAGAAGAATTATAAATAATAAATCCACTAGATTGGCCCATGAGCCACCGCCTTCTGGGCATACGACTCTAGGCAAATTTAACATTTGTTGAATTTGTAAATCAATATAAATTTAGTGAAGTAAGTTGAACAATGCCCTTTATCAGGATTATTAATATCAATCAAATTTGTACAATTTCAAATACAATGCACAGGGCATGACGTGACCTGCCGATTGGTTGAACCGGGCCCATTCAACCACCCGTCTAGGTGAAGTAAGGGGCGAAGTGATGTGTTGGGCAAAGGAACACTGTTCCTGGACCCAGTGCCCTCAACCACCAGACTCCCGTCCTCCACCGACACAGGGGCGCAACCCACGGCCAACAGGTTGGTGGACCAAATATACCCCCGGGTCCACAACGGGGGGTTGAAGGGCGCTTAGCGTTACCCAGCACCCACCACGAGGAGTTGGCCCTTCATGGGTGCCATACATGGAATGGCTGTTGATAGCCTGGATAATTTTTAAAAAACCCATAAGGGTACAAAGTGGTCAAATGTAACATATGCTATATTTGGGATTACACTTTCTCAGTAAAGTACAGATTCTAGTACTTTTTGGGTTGAGTCCCATCCGGGATTCGAACCCACACCCTCAGAGTCAGGCACCTAATCGCGAGCAAAGAATTTAAGACGCCCAGACCACTCAGCCACCGCGGCTTACACAAAAATGGAAGTTGGACAACTGGTAGTCTGGACTGCTGACTTTGTGTACCCCTCTGATAAATGTTAATTTGGCACGGCTCCCACGGCCGAAAGCTCTGAAAATACACAATGCCATTTTAAAAGTGGTCAAATGTAACATATGTTATATTTGGGATTACACTTTCTCAGTAAAGTACAGATTCTAGTATTTTGGGGGGGTTGAGTCCCATCCGGGATTCGAACCCACACCCTCAGAGTCAGGCACCTAATCGCAAGCACAGAAAGTCAGACACCCAGACCACTTAGCCACCGCGGCTTACACAAAAATGGAAGTTGGACAACTGGTAGTATAGACTGCGGACTTTGTGTATCCCTCTGATAAGTGTTAATTGGCACGGCTCCCACGGCCGAAAGCTATGAAAATACATAATGCCATTTTAGAAAGTGGTCAAATGTAATATATGGTATATTTGGTATTACACTTTCTCAGTAAAGTACAACCTTGACTGTGCAACTCCGGGCTGTGATAAACTCAATTAACTCCTTTCATTGCAAGTGCAGATGTACGCTTAACCCAGTTTTCAGTATTATAAGCGACAATATTTCCATGATCAAAATATAGAAAGTCAAAGCTAGAGAATAATCAGTTCCAGTTTGGGGACAAAATTGTGCTGCATACTGTCCCATCGATGGCACTCATCACAAACACATGCAAAGGCACATCAGTACCTGAGAAATCAACAGCATGGACAAATGTACAAAGGAGACATTAGGGCTGTCAGTCGAAAACAAGGCAAGGTCAGATAGTTTATACGTATATTATAACTGTCATCACTCACTTGATGAGATCAAGAATCATGTCAACTGCCGAAGGAGCATGGAACTCTTCAGACTGCGTGCCTGAAGACGTCGGCGTGTCACGTAATCCTGGCTTGATAATGAACACCAGAGCAAAGCCAATACAGATTGCAATGACGGTTGTTGAAATATAGTAGGCCATAGTGAACAGACCCATCTTTCCCGATGAGTTGCTGTCCATGTTGGCAATTCCTGTTAAAACATAAAGTAACGTCAAATGGAATAATCACTAAGAACAGACCTATCTTTCCTGATGACGTGCTGCCCGTGTTAGCGATTCCTGTTAAAACATAGAGTAACTCTAAAGGCAATAATCAAATGGAGAACAGACCCATCTTTCCTGATGACATTCTGTTCTTGATAGCAATTCCTGTTAAAACACAGAGTAACTCTAAAAGGAATAATAAAATGAACAACGGGCCTATCTCAGTAACAGTGTTTCTTTGCAAGTTCTTACAACTATCGATGTAAAGAACCAATAACTTGCGCGGGTTGTAATGAATACGTTAATTAATATTTAGGCTAGAACTAGAATTAATATTCTAATGTATAATACGTGCAGTGACTTCATGGGGTTTTGTACATAAAGGACTGTTAATGAAAGCTATTAATCGTGACGAGATTTGATTATTGATGGAATTGTGAATCCAAAAGTAGTAGTCTCGCCGTCAGTACTATTGCACGATGCATTTGCTTGAAAATTTGGTTTACGTAATTTCCGTGTATATTAGTTACCTAAATTACCAAAACGTATAAATGTATCCAAAACCAAATGTTATAATACAGTACAACATCACCAGTGATGACACCAGTCGTTCAAAATATATAATTTTCATAAAAACAAACAAATCCTATTAAATTGAAAAGGATCCCAAGAGAGATGGAAGATCATGTACTTGAGCAAATCTGGACTTGCCTCATTTAGAGCTTAGAATTGCAGAAAAGGCTAAGAAGAAGGCATGGATGGTTGTTGTTTAATGCCGCACTCAGCAATATTCAAGCTATATGTCTGCGGTCTGTGATCGAGTCTGGACCAGACAATCCAGCATGAGCATCAGTGTACACAATTGGGACATGATGACATATGTCGACCCAGTCAGCGAGCCAGACCACCCGATCGCCTGGATGACAATAACAGTTGCTGAAGACCAATTCTAACCCGGATTTTCACGGGTCTGTAAGCACAAGGGAAAGTAATGCAGTTCAGGGACTGTGAGGCAGAGTACTGTACTTCTGGTTAAGATGGCGGTCTTAAACAAAGCAGAGAATAACGTCCGGTTAAAACAGATTCTGCTGTACCTGTGATCATGCTTGCAACAATCAGCGGAAGTATGAGCATGTTCAACATCCTCATGACTATATCCCCAGGGAGACTGATGAGTAGGATGGTGTCCGGGGAGAGATGAAGCTGACGAAAAAGCAACCCGATGGTCACGCCCATGACTGCAGAGATGACGGTAAGGATGAGCAGGATGTTGGCCTTCAAACAGGTCTTTAACGCCATCTTGAAAAATAGAATACCTTAATTATAGTTAAGTATCATCGAAACTTTATGTGAGAATCATTATGAGTGTTTCCTATTTTGTTATAAGTGTTTATCACTTATAGTAATACAATCATCGTCTTGGATATTTCTGATGCCAGGCATCTAATGACCTATTTGTTTCTATTTAATTGCTATGCAGTGTATTACATATGCTACATTTGGGATTATAAAAGATATAAGAATTTGTACTTTACTTGAGAAAGTGTAATCCGAAATATAATATTACATCAAGCTTGCAAAAATGCATTGTTAACTTACATTCGTGTTTGGCGTGTATTGAAAAATCTACTGGTATCGACTAAACACTGTGGTGTACGTTTTGCAAGATACCTTTCACCATTTTGAATAAAGTATATCTAATGAAAGATTGAGTTTCCTTTAACTTTTTTAGTTTTCAAACCAACCACAAAAACCGCCCCCAAGTAACTAAAACAGAAAAACAGGCAAAACTGCAACCTCTGCGGATATATTACTTTCAGGTGGTTTTAGGCGCTACTTGTGTGCCCCAACAAGGTGCATCGACTTGAACACTACACAACATCGTTACCATGCTTTGTTTCTCACCCGTTGATTATGTCAATGTATATTAAATCTACAATGTTATTACATATTCTGTAATAACATCGCGTGCTATCGGAACTATTTGCACTTGGTCACATGACCAAAGGTGTGCACTCGTTCAATTCTTAGAAAAGAAGTTTCAAATGTTGTTTGCTCTGTTGCGTGTACTAGCATTTACATGAAAACAAACTTATGTTGGGTGAAGTTATTTGCTACCCTTTTCATACCCATTTGTCTATTTTTAAAAATCAAATTAAATAGACTAAGAAGAAGAAGAAGAAGAAGAAGAAGAAGTTTATTCAGTATTTGAGGCCACATGGCCAAGAGTACAAACATATAAGAACAATATTGTGCGGATGGACAGAAAAAAACAATGTAATTAGTTCAATTTCATACAGGCAAGTTACGCTTTAGAAATAATTCTATTGACTTCAATAGATGTGCATTTGTTGTTGTTAAAAGTTGTTTAAATTTTAATCTTGATGGGAACGTATGGTAATAACTAGGTAAGTACAGTTTTCTTTGTACAGAATAGAATGAAATTCATCCTGTGTAACATTAAAATCACATTTGTCACATATCAATACATTGAAATTTATATTATTATTATAACGTTGTTGTTGAACATTTAACTTATGGCTTAAACAGCGGAATTTGCATAAAATGCGTATAAGGTCCTTGTTATGACAAAGTTCCAATATGTATTTTTCAGGTTCGAGGGCGGACGTGATTGCTCCATTGTCTTTTAGAAAAGATGATGTTATCCTAGAGTGCCAATTTTGAATTTCAATATTTTGACATCTTTGTCTAAATTCACTTATAAAAGTTTCTATATTCCCACATTCCTGTGTAATCCAAACGTAAGAAAATCCAGTTCGGAATAAAAGTAGACGCACATGCGTAACCCAGTTGCAGCTGCCACTATCGTCTTGCAACTTTAACATTTCATAACATAATTTGGGATGTCGATTATTGTCCATATTATAATATTCTGCACCAATATTTGATACATCTGCCGTAATATTTAACGCATAATTGGGTCCTGCCAATTTCACCAAGTACACCATTGGAAGAAACATTTTTATTAACACTCAGAAAACGTTTGAAAAAGAAACATTGGGTTTTCTCAATGTGAGGACGACATGAATGCCCCCAGATTTTACTACCGTACAATAATATTGGGGATATCTAACTATCAAATATGGCTGAAGCAACTTTCAAAGATATATGTGGAAGATCTTTAAACATTTTAAATATAGGGAACGAGGCGTTTTTGGCTTGAAGACTTAGTGTTTCACATGTCCTCGACCATATCAATTTTGTGGTAAAAACAACACCTAGATATTTAAAGTGTGATACAACATTCATTTGGTTTCCATTATAGAACCATTTTTCTGATTTCTTAAGATATCCACCATTTCTAAATACTACTATACAAGATTTGTCAAGATTAACTTCTAAACCCCATTTTGAGCAAAAACGATACAATGTATCAAGTTTTCTTTGTAAACTAATAACAGTGTCATCAAGTAAAGTAACATCGTAAAAAGCAGTAACAGAATTTCATTTAAACCATCTTTGACAAATATTCCCTTAATCCATAGTTATTCATTTCATCCACAAGCTCGTTGATAAAAAGTATAAACAGAGCTGGGCTAAGCATGCAACCTTGCTTTACCCCAGATGATTTGTTAAAGATTTCAGATCTCTTATTTCCAACTTTAACACAAGCTGATACCTTGTCATACCTATCTTTCAGCAACTTGAAATTTATTCCATGGACACCTTTGGTGAGGAGTACATATAAAAGCTTATTTCTATTTACAAAATCAAAGGCTTTTCTGAAGTCAATAAAAGCTGCATAAAATCGATGTTTGGGTTTTCTTAGATATTTTTGGCATAGAGATTGAAGGACAAATATGTTATCGACTGTTGAATAGTCAGGTCTAAATCCTGCTTGACACTGTAAAATCTCATGCAATTCCATCGAGATACGAATTCTGGAGTCAAGGATGGAAGTGAAAATTTTACCCATCACATTCAACAATGATATGCCACGATAATTATTCGGGTCATGCTTATTACCTTTCTTATACAATGGTATAATCATACCGATGTTCCAGTTGTCTGGAAATACACCAGTGTCTAATACAGCGTTAAACAGACTGAGTAATTCTAAGTATGGAATAAGGAAATTTGCATTTATTAAAACTCAGGTGGTATTCCGTCAGTGCCCGGGGATTTTCCGGTCTTAAGGGATTTGATAGCCTGTTCTATTTCATTTTTATTTATTGGGTCTGATAAGAAGTCTTCGTTGTCAAAGTCTGAACAGTCATGACTTGATATATATTCACGAGCGGTTTCATCAAAACCTTCATCATTTACATTGGTTGCAGGATTAAGTAATTCCTTGAAATATGTAACCCATTTACAAATGGGAATACAATTGTTCCCTCCCGAACCAGTTGTAAGGGATTTTACCTTAGACCAAAACTTCTTACAATCACCATCTGCGGCTGCTGCACGTATTTCATCAGCAATCATGTTATTTAATCTTCGAGATTTATCCCGGCATACACTTTTGAAATTCCTCTTTGCATCAATATAGCAATTGAGAGTTTCTGTGGACCGACACCTCGAAACGTGTTTAAGTGAAAGATCTTTTTCTCTTAGCACGCTCACAGTCTTGGTCAAACCACTTAGGTTGTACAGGCTTTTGTTTCGCTACTTTAGGCAGCGTCAGTTACACGTTGATGGCTTCCTACATGCTGCATTAGTTCTACCAGCTTGTCCGCTGCAGCATTGATATTTACGTTTACCAATTGTTGAAAGTCATCAACAATATTAGATGCTACATCAGACGTTATGTTGAGATCAAATTGATAATCCTTGCTCTTACATGCCTTGAATTTGTCAACTTGATAACACTCTATGCTTCTTTCATTATCGTTACTATCGGCTTCTATCCCTGCAACAACACAGAGGTTTATAGTGCATGATAATGGTAGGTGATCCGAGTCTGGTCGAGAATGCACAAACATGTCTAGAATAGCACTAAAACAGTTTGTTGAAGCCAGTATGTAGTCTACAAGACTAATGTTGACAATTATAAATGAAATGTACTCATACGCGTGACCCCTGTTGTGACGGAGTATTTTGTAAGTTGAATTCTGAGACATTATTTTGCTATTGTTGAATGAGTTATAAATAAAATACTAACGGTGTCCCGTGTAATACCATATTTATGAATCGTGAATGATATTGGTATCTAACTCTCTTTCGCTCGTTATAGACCAAACTATTCACTCGTTTCATAAATATGGTATTACATGGGACATCGTTTAGTGTTCTCTATGTATCCCGTAAAACCGCTGTAACTGCCAAATAAAACAAAACCAACAATTATATGATTTCAAGTAGTTTTGTTCAGGGAAAGGACAGCTTTGGGTTTCTGCTTCAAGACATCAATTTTCAACTGAAAATATCGTTTAGGAAAGTTTCTTTCGTGGGGCAAAATTGCAACCTCTGCGGATATGGTATAGTTTTCAGGTGGTTTAGGCACTACCAGTGTGCCCAAACAAGGAGTATCCATATGAATAGCACACGGCATTGCTACCATTTTGTATCCCGAAATAACCCTGTTTGTATGTATGTGCATACTTGTCTTCAGTGTGTCTGTCTCTCCAACAATAGGAACATTTAGTTCCATCAAACGATCTTTTGATTTGATTTCTTCTCTGGTAACCACAAAACAGGCCATTTTTAAGGGGAGTATTTTGTCGTTCCAACTGAAACATTCTTCAAACAATACACGCGATTAAAAAATAAGTGTGCAGTTCTAAAAACAGATGTCCTTACCTTTTGGTTTACTCAGCTTGGACTGATTTCTAATGATAACCAACAACGGGTGTGTCCAGAATGCTACAGTGGTCAAACCCGGATAGCATAAATTAGTATGATGATGTTACAGAGGAACAAAGAGATGTGCCGAGAATGCAAAAGCGATAAAATCCCGAGTGCATGAACCATGATGAGTTTGTCCGTGCAGCATTGATATATATGTTTACAGCTGGGGCTATAAGATTTCGTGAATGGTATTGGTATCTAACTCGCTTTTGCTCGTTAGAGACCTAACCATTCACTCGTTTCATAAATATGGTATTACACGGAACATCGTTTTATATTCTCTATGTATCCCGTAAAACACCTGTTTGTATGTATGTGGACTTCAGTGTGTCTGTCTCTCCAACAATAGAACATATGGTTCCATCAAACGATCTTCTGAATGGTATTCAGCTCTCGAAACCATAAACAACAGGCCATTTTGAACGGGAACATTTGTCGTTCCAACTGAAAAATGCTTCAAACAATATACACGATTTAAAAATAAATGTTCA